GTATGAAATGAGGTACAATTAACTGTGTCTAATAATCATGAAGGGACTGTGCGTTGAACTATAGAACTACAAAGTTGAACGCAAGTATGAACGAGAATATAAGATAAATTAATAACATGAAATTTTAAAATTGTGATTTCTACTACTAGCATATCTGAATATATTCTTTGGATTAGAGAGAAAGTCATGCGAATATGTCCGCAATTAGATAAGTCCAACATGAACGATAAATACAATGCTTTAACTTCTCTTTCTTCCAACACATTCGTTATAGAATAAAATAAATATCCCAGATGGCTAGACGAAAATAGGATTACTTTTGCCGCTCATTATGTTTGTTTATGGCGTAATTAGGTTAAGATGAATAATTGAATAATAATCATAAAGGAAGTTAATTAGTGCGAAATGCTGGTAGATTACAGTGATAGAAATAAGTATCTTTCGCTTTACATTGTGTGGAGAATTCTAGACCTAGCTCTAAGAATACATATTAACATATGTTACTGAGAATTTTATTACGGGCAGGAATAAGTACTTAAGTATACGCTTTTCATTGAATATGGAATGTAACGACAATGCAATACACAATATTTGTATGTATATATAACGTGACCGAGCATTTCCTCTCTCAGATTCCGCTGAATGGAAATTTGCAAAATCGATCAATTATAACGACGCCGCCAGGTAAATAATTAATTAACACCGCAAAGGCGCGGAAGAGTGACTTTTGCCCCTGGGGGCGGCAGGGTGCCTGACACTAAAAACGAATCATAAAGTTCAGGCTTTAATGGAATTCACCCAGATCCCGATCATATATGATATTTTGAATTCGGTAGTAATCTCTCTAAAGCTAATACAATTCTAGTTGTATCATCAAATAAACAAACATCATTGATAAATATCTGACAACGTATTCTTAACGTTGATATTGTTTATCACGACAAATCGTCATATCACGAAAACAAATATCACAAATTTGAACCGCATTATTTTGTCTGAAATTTCTAACTTTTATAGCGCTGCTTGTGATTTTCTTTTTCCTTTTTCAAAATGTTTATAAAATTTATATATGGTATTCTTACGAGTAAATACTAAATAGAGTAGACCAATGCGTCAAGTGATATACCTCAAATAATAATACACCACTTGTTAGGCTTCAGTATGTGATATTTATATAAGTAGTTCACCCATGGTTTATAAGTCAATGTGATGACAATTACACAAAATTCTTCTAATAACGTAAAATTGTTTATACATCACACGTCGTCTGTAGCGAATTTATAATTTGCAATTTGCTATTCTCTGGCGCACCTGCTGGAGTAGTAAGTCAGTAAGTAGTTCACCTAACTCGTGGAACATGCAATTCGTCACATTTCCCAATTACGAAATTATTCTATAAAATCCTAAACATTAAGTTTGTTTGAATTGCCTAACTTTTGCCCTAGTACCAAAGTCTTTTCCAAAGCCGAAAAAGTCTAGTTTTTAATCGATTCGAGGCATTACATACTTGGGTGCTATTTTTCGAAAAAACGATGCGTATGCTTACTCTGCGAGGAAAGAGCTTGTTTTTGTTACACCAGGCCCAACCTGGCAGACTTCACAATTTTAGTTTTGCAAATTTTTGTTGACTTAATTTCAGTTCAAACTAAAAAATGAAACACTGGTTCATTGCTGACCAAATTTTGTTGTGTTGAGCGCTGTAACGTGACCTCCATTTAAATATTTCATGTCGGCCTACAACGTACTAAAACGCTCGATTTTAAAAAACAAAATGCGTTGCGTGCTGAGAACATTCATAATTGATGCAAAAAACTCTTATCTGTCTTATGCAAAACAGGAACTTACAATGTAGTTGCAAATTTTCATGAAGATGCATTACTTCCTTTCAAAACTGAAGTGGCGGTCTATATTTGAAACGAGAATTGGAGAGAATTTTAAATTTCGATGTTGTTCCGTGATTAGAAACTTTTGTTGGCTGTGACTTGCAATGTACCTTTGAAGTAGTTTACTGATTTCCAAAAACCAACTTTTTTGCTTTTTGTTTGAGTGAAATATATCGGTATTAAAACGTCAAACCCTTCTACCCGCTTATTATGTCTTAATGTATTCTCTCTTTTTCATTTTCTGATAATGTGTAGTTGCGTTTAATCAGTTTCTTTGTATAAGGCAATATAGAAAAACACAAGAGACTTTGCTTTTATATTTTGCTTCAAAGAATTCTTCATTATTTACACTTACAGTAATGAACAATGCCCTGGGCGTTAGTTAAGTTGGGGATATTTATATCTTATATGGTTCACGTTTATTACGTGTATATGAGGTGAAAAAAAATATTGGAACCCTTCTAGATGTCAAAATGTAGAACCTCTCATGCTTTCTTTATAGGAAAGATTTGGGAAATTTAGCATAAGCAGAGAAGTTCATAAAATATTATTTCATTTTGAAAATTGTTCGAAAAGTGCAACGTTGAAAAAAAAATCACTGCTTCCTAGTTGACATTCAAACTATAACATACTTTGCTTATTAATTTTGGATAGATATCACACTCTTCATAAATTTGAGTTAATAAGATCATATGAACAATGTATAAACCGATTATTTAAATTTGGTCTTCTTTTATGCGTTTTAACTCCGGTTCAACACCAAATAAAAGGCCCGAAATATATACTGAAATGTTTTACCTCGGAAGTTCTTAAACACTGCAGCAGCATTTCAGCACAAATAATGTATTATGTAGAACGGGGTGTCTTCTATGAATACTAGAATTCAACTTCGGACCGTACTGAACTCATATTGATAATATATTGAGCCTGTTTTGATAATTTTTATTGGACACGAAATGATCAATGGTTTTAAAAAATGTTGTTGTCCTTTTTGGGGCTAAAATATCCATTCTCTAACATATCGAGTATTTATACACGAAATATTTTATAAGTTGACAACTAAAGGATTGCAATTTACCTCACACATCCAAACATAACAAAACCTTTTCGGTGTCGCATTTCCAACATTAAAGATATACCGAGAGCATCATTTTCGTACTATGATGTTATTTGTAACAATAGTATTCCTAAAATTTGAAAATACAAGCAGAAAAATATACGGCTTACAAATATGTAAACTGACCCCAAAACAATAAAGCTAATTTCTCCATATTCACTGGTATTACTAATTTCAAAGTTTACGATTCTAATTTGGTAGAATCAAGTTTTATTATGCAATAAATGAGTTTCGCAATCATTAATGAGACTTACCTCTAATATACAAAATATAAATTATGTAATGGTTTCGTCCCGAAGTAAATGTCCTGCGTGGCGAGTTATTGTTCGAGATTTGTAATATATAGCAATAAATCTATATGAATGAAGAGCTTGTTTTTCAAATCGCAACAATTGAGAGAAAAAAAATTTGGCGTGGAAAATTGATGTTGGAACTAATTATAACAAACACTATTTAGTGAAACACACTTAAAATAAAGTTGGAAATAAAAATCAAAAAACTTTACTTTCTTATATTTAAAAGAAAAGATGAATTTAATACATTTCTATACTAATTCTATTGTTTTGTCGAAATATAGGAGAAAAAGGAAAATTAGATGAACGGTTTTAAGACTAGGTATGGTTATCGGCTTTCGCGGCTCACAAAAATATTGGCAGGCGAAAAAGGGCTCACCAACACTGGTTCGTCAAATCTTTCAAAACCATTCATTTTTGCTTAAAATTAACCACAAAATTTCACAGGGAAGCTCCATTTACACATTCCACAATGAGTGGCACCTTGCTGATCGTTTCAGTCACGCAGCGTCCGCGGCCATCCATTTTAAGACGGATTTATCGCGGGCCGAAGTAAATGTGGAGTGGCGTATAGAAATGCGATACGTTTGTTGTGTGTTTTTCGGGATAATGAATCTACTCCCAATGACTACATGACGAATGCTCACATTTAGATACGGTTTTTTTAAACATCCCGATTGTCGTTTGGTACCAAGCCCATCATATATATATTTATCCATTATAATGTATGTTATTCCATCGCTTAAACTCGATGCAAATGTTGTGACACTACTTTCCACAACACGTAAATATTTTTGGCCTTCTTGATGTTCAATTACTTAATAGCCCAGGGTAAAACATACATGATTTACATCAATTTTACAAAATTGTATTATGTCGTTGAATAAACCGCCCATTGTGTTTTAATGTATTTCCATTATGCGGTTTCGAATTTTATTACAGTTTTTTTTCTCCTTCGTTAGACAACTTGTTTGTACGTATATCGTGTAATTGAAAGCTAAATTGCCTTATTTTTAGGATACCTTGACGCGAGTATATCCATACTCCTTCGTTCGCTACGTTAGAATGAGTACAATCGCAACGAAGCGCTTTGCAGGTCGCAAAAATTTATACGAGCTATATTTTCGTGCTATGTTTTTAACGGTAGGTTAATTAAAGTAAATTCAACTAGACGTAGGGAGGTAATGGAAGAAAATTTTGAGTGTTGGTTGGCTGGATCTTGGGTGATAGGAACGTAATCTGGTATTCTTGTTTGGTGACGTTAATCATTGAAATCCGATTTTTTGCACAACTTTCTATGAAACTTTGGAACTAAATATTTCCAAAATACAAATAAAAAAAATCTAATACGATGTTGTTATTGTATTTACACAATGTTTATATAAAATGGAATACTGTTGCTTCTGGTATACGTGTACCAGATTCCGCAAGGCCAGATCTACGCATAAACATTTTTTTTCATTTTGCTGATCTGTTTAGTTTAGATGGATTCATACAACTCAAACCTATTATACCTAAATATTGTTAGGACTCTGATAATGTTGTCATTTAGTTGTTTTTCAACTTTATCTATAATTTGGCAACAACACTTTACTAATTTACCGTCTAATAATACAGCCAATCTAGAGTGAATCTCTTCAGATTTGCGACTCTTTAACACGTTTGTAAATTACTATTGGCAATGGTTACCATTAGGTGGCGGCATGTATGCATTAAAATCAAATTACTTATATTTTAACATCCGATCTGCCTTGATTTAATGTTCGTTTTTTTCTGGACAAAACTACCACGTTCAAACACGATTTTATGACAAGTACTTTAAATTGGTACTTGAGATACCTTAAAAATATTTTTTAAAACAACCACGATTTGGGATAAATACAACAAATCAGCAAAAGTTAGTTAGTTAGTGACCGTGCTTGGTTGATCAAATTTCATTAGCTCCAAGTTATTTATCATCAGAATAACAGATATCTATTGCGTCACAATACAATATTGATGTCATGTACGAAATTTTTTACAATCATGATGGAACAAATTTTCGGCTGAAACTAATCAAACGAACATGTCTACATAACGTGTCCTCTACAATAGCGTCCCGCGCTAATTCGAATTGTGTATTGACTCAATTAGCGTTGCTTGTCAGGTATTGATCCACACTGTGCTAATGCGATAGTCCGGGCTAATTTAAATCGGCCGTGTAATCGAGGCTTGGCTAAGAATTTTTTTAATTTCATTTCCACAGATCAATACCAAAATTTTGTGACTGAATCCAGCTGATAAGGTTTATTTATATCATAACTGTTCAGGGCAGGACAGGCAATTCACAAAGAGTTTTGAAGGTGTACTGTGACGTACACGCTAGCGTGTTATAACGTAAACTAGTTGGCTACGGGCAGAGTTGTGGTCGTTAACGTTATATTGAGTTCACGGTCAAAAACTTATCTCGAATTGACGCATTCAAATATCAATCAAATTTATATTTTAGTATTGTCTGTAGAGTTTATGTTATTTCCCTGATATTCAAAAGTGTCTATTTAGTGGGTTACTGAAATAGAAAATATGTTGCGTGATGTGCCGATGAATGGGTTGTGATGTGAAAAATGCCATTGATTTTGTAATCATTTTGCCTTTGCGGAAACAGGGTTTATCTCACAATACGTAAAGCGTGTAGTACAGCGATGATTTCCCTCTCTCTGACTGACAAAAGATATCTGTGTATTTTGTAAACTGAAGACGCGCTGGCATGTTTTTGTAGAGTGCGTGAAGCCGTAGCGCATAACACGTCAGTTTTGTACGTTGAATTTCTGAAAGAGTATAGATAATGCGACACTCAGCTGGTCAGGGATATTGTTAATAACATCAGAGTTTGCCGAGAAGGCTGTTCAAGCAGCGTTGAAAACGCACTCAATTCTGATTTACGGATTATTACCAGTTGACACCCAAGACAAATTGTTTAGCCAGTGAATGAGGTTTAGGGCGTTTGGTTGGTCATTTTATTAGTTTTAGCTCAAAGGCCAATTTTCAGCGGCGGATGTCATTCGAAGCTCCGAAGAAGTCATTTTTACGGGCTATTGAGTGGAAACCATTTTTTTCATAAACGGCGCCATTCGAATTACATGTTTAGTTTCGCATTCCTATTCGTTATTACAATTTTACTCTGAGAGATACTTGACAAAAATTTACTTCCACAAAATTTTACAAAATACCTAAGATTGTTTTACGCTTTGATTCGCATTTATTGAGAATGGTTCCCAAATAATGCCTTGTGGGCATTAGCGTTGCTATTTTAAACTTTTATGTAATTGACTTCATGTATCAAACAGTAAGTCTATCGCTAGCTATGCTTCAAGAAAGTTACGGTAGAGTAGTTTCCGTACAACAGCCTAGGCGGAATTCAAGCAGCAGTAGCGGCTGTTCGGCCGATATCAAACTATTAGCTGACAATGTTTCGGATCAAGACGATCGTTTGGCTGAAGATATTTCAAGACACACGAGTTCGGAACGTTTCATGGTTGATAAAGCTAGAAAAAACTCTAAACCTCTGGACAGAAAGGTGACGAAATCGAACAACAACAACTCGTATTCTCCAGAACATAATTTGGCTGACAGAACTTTTCCAAATTCACCCGCGTCGCCGAACACAGTAGATTCGGTTCGTTATATTCGACAAAGTACTAGATCCGCGGAAGATGGATTTATGGAGCCGATTTTATCGGATGACGATGGCGAAGTTTTTGCTAAAGACCAAAGACACAGTCCCAGCAAAAGAGGAAATTTTTTTCGATATTTATCGTTGAGAAAAGATTCTGCATCGCGTCCACACGGACGACGGACATCGATATTTTCGAAACTGCAACATACCTTGTAAGTACGGTGTAATTTATGGAATTTCCTTAGGCTTTATGCTATATATAATTCGAGTGGAAGAGTCATTCTTCGTTTGACACACGAGTGGATCGTTGAGAGGTCATGTATCATACTCGATAAACTGTTATTTGTTACTAGTAGATATATTAATCCAATGTCATTGTTACATAACTTCTTATTTTAATCATCACAACCATAACTTTTGATTTCTGACTGCTTAATCAACATACAATGACTCTAAAATCAATAAAAATTTTGGGGGCCTAAAAGCAAAATCTAGTAAAAAAATGAACAAGATTAATCCCAGTGAAAGACATTTGCAAATATTTTTCTCTATGTTCAAATACTGTCTTGTTTTTCTTGTTTCAAAATGACTGTTACACCAAGAGAGTCAAGCGGACTTCCTATGCTCCTAACCCACGAATTTACGAATAATGAACACAATATATGTGAATATCCCATTAATGGTCCAAATCCCAGTCAAATTGTGGAATTAAATGTTAAAATGTTGCCATGAAGTGACATAACAGAAAGAAAGAAAAATATATTGCACGACTTTGCGTGGTTGTTATTGTTCAAATATCGTGTGTTTTGTTTATCGCAAAACGATAAAAACTTGTCACTCTTGTACGGAATTTATTTGCATAATCTTATGATTGTGACTAATTACAGGCATTAATCTTATTTGGGTTTTGCAAATAAATATTAACACAGAATGTTTCAATTACATTGTACTACTTGGGTGACATTTTCGTTAAATTTTCCCTGAAAGGGTCTCATTCATTTGGAAAATATAATACAATATGCTTGTAGAGACAATTCCTAAACAATCACTATAACACTCATATAAAGAAATTGACTAGTTTATTTTCCACTATGGTTCACTCTCTTTACTGTATTACTTCTTATTTCAATCGCATTCGAAAATATTTAATTTGCTCAGCTGTATATAGTCATTGCGCGGATGATTTTTGAAGTTTGTGAAACAACCTAGGGCTTGTGTTCGTGGTACATATAGTTCGTACCATAAAATTGTGGATTTTGTGTGTAAAACACGTGCTTAGTGCAACGTGCAATATCCTGGGGGATGCCTAAATAATTGTTGAGGCAAACATATCAAATTTGGTGCTAAAATTACGAGATTTATCAATGGTTTCTAAAATAATCTCTCTTATTTGTAGACATGTTGTAAATACGTTCAGTAGATTTTCGAACATAGCGAAACCGTTCACGTTTTGTAACGACTGTATTAAAAAGATTTGCATTTAAACCGAATCGGAAGTTTCAAACTAGAACAATGGTTATTCATAATGGTCATGCAAGCTCAGTATTAATACAAAAACTTTGACTTGAGGTTGAGGCAAAGCAAATAATGGCAGCCGATAGGTAAAAGCAACACATGTAGTGTTGACAACTTAAGGTTAACTTTGTATTGAAGTGAAATTTCTCATTTAATGTACCATAATAATAGGTAATCACAGTTCATGTTTGCTCAATCCACTTATTCATCACATCTTTATTATCTTTTTCGTGATACATTAATTACAGCAATGAACCATCATCACCCGCAAGATATTGAATAAAACGAATAAAAAATTGTCCCTATCAACGTGAGATTAACTGTAAATAACATTCATGGTTTATCACTCAGTATTTGATCAAAATATTTTGTCCCGTACTATTTTTGGAATCAGGTTGAATTTTTAGACATTTCATTGATTTAAACAAGCTAAATATAGATATGACTTCGTGGATTAGAAGAGAGTGGCATTATTCTCATTCAAAAGGTACGCAAGATTCCACCCAGTCAATAGCTGTATTCTACAATACACATGATATAAAAAATATTGGCTGTATATCCTAGAACCCTTACGATCTATCCATAAAGATCATAATCGTCTATTTTGATTCATGATAGTCGGGAATTCATTGACATTTTGTTTTGACGCAACGCTTGCCTTTAGTGTGCTAGAAGCCATTCGAAGTGCTTTTCTGACGTCATATGACAATGAAGGATTGAAATTCATTTATGAAAATGAACGTTAAATGACTGTCTTAAATTTAGACCAAATATAGCGTCATTTTAGATATTTTTTCACTGATTTTATCTTATGTATTTGTATATTACGGTGTGGTGCATGGTCATAAAAAGATTTGTTGTAATCGCTCGAATTTGAAGAGTCCCAAATAAATGGAACCTCAAACTAAACAATTTTGATTTGGTAAGCATCTGATACAAGTTCAGGTTTTACTGGTTTTCCTGCAAGACACATAAAAATGATTGAGGCTGGTGACAAATAGTCTCAAGCAGTAATGCTCATGAAAATCGTATTATTTTCAAATAAGCGCTTGTATCCTCTACTTGGCTAAATATTGTATAAATAGAAATCAAATTTTCTGAACTATTGGTGACATCGTCCATCGTTTATATTCAAATTTCGTGCAGAATTATTTTGTTCATGTACAATTATAAGATGGAGTCGAATGGTTATAATAAATTGACTTAGCATGGTACATATGACGTAATTTTAGAGAACTTTCGATCTTTCATTCAGAAAAACTGTGGAACCAAATCTATGCAAATCGTTTGTTCGTCTGCTTACTAATTAGTTAGAGTCAATCAGTGTTTACTGTGTTGTTATTGCGAAGTCAAGTCGAGGCGATTGATTAGACTGACCATCTAAATCGAGGAATTGAGTTACATTAAGCGATTTAACTGTTTCGCCCAAAATAGTAGCGTTTGGAAATATAAAGTAGTGTATTGAAATTTAGAGACGGATAATTTTATCACCTTACGGGCGGCGGGTTTTAGGGAATAACGCGATCGATTTTGCTGCATCAGAGACGTTTTTAGTCTACGTCTCTGCGCTATATCATGTAATATTTATAATACACAATCCTGCCAAAAATTGATTCTTACATTATCAAAGATCATGTATGGTGGACAAATATAAATCGCTTCCAATCCACGTTTCATGGTTGTGTAGACGTAAGATATTATCCGATTAGGCGATCAATTTGTTTTTGGAAGATGTAATTAACATTATGCAGGGAAATGGTAAATAAACAAATCGTATTGATATGTCGTTCAAAAATAACGGAGATATGCGTAGGTATATGGATAATATATCACGTAGGAAGGAGTTCAGAATAATATATTTTTGCGTGTAATATGGCCGACGTCAGTACACCGTCATTTTTACGAAAGATGGCATTGTTTTTAAAATTATTTTTTGATGTCGTAGCATACCGTAATGACTTTGCAATGTTATACTTCTAAATGTATTTGATATCAAATATAAATTTTGCTCGAAACTACTTTTCAGTATACAATTATTTTTTTTTTATAATTTATTTGAATGTATAAATTTATATTAATACACGCCGATCGAGTTTACATCCTAAACAATATAAATAATTAAATATTATAAAACGACAACATAATTTTACATAAATTAATGAGAAGTAAATATGACAGAATTGAAGGATGATCAGCCTGCTCTGGTGAAAATTTTAACCTTATCGTAATTTTATATACGTTTTTATATCACGTCAATTTAAAATGATTTAGGGAAGGTTTTCGCTTGATGTAACAACTTCACTCACTAATGACGTTATTGTTATCGCCTGCTTGGTATTCGTAATAAGATTTTGGGTCCCTGTGGACAAGTTCCGAACCTTTCAAATTCGCGACATAACGAAGGCTAAAACATTCCCCCGTCAGTAAACAAGCGCTGAAATGAGGCCGCAATATTGACAACGTTGACCAAAATGCGATTGACGTGATTTGTCATTATCTTAAAATGGAAAGAATACTTCTTGGTTCAAGTCAGTCCAATATACTCTTTATTCTCCTATTTGATAATATTTGAATATTGAATGAAAGTGTGTTAGTTTAATAATAAAAAACTGTCATACTAATAACAGCGAACTCTATATTATATATATATAATAAGCATTCTTGAGTAAACAAAAATGTGGAAATTCAATAAAAAACATTAGTCGTATGTAAGTTTAATGAAGCGCACTTTGATGTCTTTAACGCACTGACGTAAATCGCGGTGTGAATGCAAGTGTAAAATTAGGATTTAAAAAGCTGATATGCTGAGCAACAACACCAGAGAATTCATTCATTTGTGAATACAAAACTGCGTCAAAAATATTGCAGTTATATTCTGTGCAATATATAATATTTTAACACATGGCATTCAATTTTTTCGGCCACGTTGATCGCGAGGATTTTCTCTATGATCCTTTGATTTATTTCATTCACACCTTAGATATGCACGCAGCGGATATATGAAGCACATAACAAGTGAGCTATCACACATAACATAGTCAAGTATGAAGATCCTGTAAAGGCCAGATCATACATAAACATAATATAGTTACATGAAAGCTATGCAGAGGTTCTTTATGTTATTACAGTAAACGAATTGCATATTATTTTTTTACAACTGATTTTCCATTCCCATTTTCGAGTTCCTAATTCATTTCGTGTTTTGACTAGTTTTAGTGAAATTCAAATTGTAGATCGACAATTTATTGTAGTGAATTGAAAAACTTGGTGGAATATTTTCTTTTCTCCCAACAAAACTAATTAGTTCTTTGGCATAAAAAAATAACTAAATAAAAAAGAATATATGTCAGATGTCACTACGGTTTAAAAGATCTTACGTACTAACGCCATTTGCATATGAATTTTTTATAATATGTTCATGAAAGTGGTTCGGTCGTAACTTCCGTAAATGTATTTACGGGCCAAGAAACATTATGATGTAGTTTTTATGCTTTTATTTTAATAAGTTTAGAATCTATTGTATTCATTACAATCAAACTAATGCGGCTCAAATATAATATTCGTAGCAGAACAAATATAGTTTATTGATATTTTTCAGAATTTATCAGTCTCGGGTAATGGCTGTTACGTGTCTAGTAGTTGTGGTCAATGCATAGCCCATGTTTGTTCTAGGATGTCGTAGAATAATTATCTAATGCAATTGATTGCTCCTTTTTCTTGTAGAGAACAAGCAAAAAATAATCCGATTTCGAGATGGAGATGAATACATGCGTTAGCTTATCAATAGCATAAGTCCTAATTTAAACCCGCGAATATGAGTGAGGTCTGTTTTTGAAAGATGCTGTCATTTTAGAATATGCGATCGTTGCGCATGTACGGTTATATTCTGTAGTTGTGTATGAAGTTTACGGCTGATATAATGTGCGATGCAGGTTTGTAAAATGATAGGCGGTATTAACTACCCCTTGAGTTCTACAAGGCATGGATATGCTGGATATACACCGGTTAAACTTGACGAAAGCCAATGGTAAGATCAGTTTCAAACCTTCTGATGGAAATGATGTTTTAAAATTTGAAAATTGTCTCATAGCTCATAGGATTTAAAATATTTATGAACGATTTCAGTACATCATACAATGAAAATGAAAGATTTAACGTCCATTTTTAAAACCTTGCTAGACGTGTTGGTCTGATGTCGAATTGGTCATTTTCTAATTTGTAAACTGTAGCAATCAATCGATGCATTCATTCATAAAAGTAATATGCTGTAAAAATAGGTACTGTACTACGACCCTACATGAGTTTCAACTGTATGAAATGATGATAGGGCTGGTTTCTCTTTTAAAGTTATTATAAACAATTATCGCAAATAGTTTTTAAATCTTCTATCAGGTACACTTATTTTCGAAAGCATGGAATTAATATGAACAGGGGTAGATATAAAAAAAATGCAATCTCAATGTTTAATGCAAGAATAACTGAAATGAAAATTGTAAAGTTGAATAGAAAAAGATATATAAAAAGTTATCCCGTATGAGATATTTATATGAAACGTCAATAAGAAAATATTTCTATTTCACTAAATTTTACTTTTGGTCGATCAACAATCGAGTACAAATTTTTCGCGCGATTGATACCGAATATTCAGATGTAGGCTATAGTTTTCTCTTGCGAGTATGGAGGATTCAAAGATATAAGTAATGCCCTATGACGGAAGTAAATTTCCGACCATGAATCTCATCCTAATACAGAATTATTGAAACGCAAAACGGTTATCTTGACGTCTGAAATACACTGGAATCATATAAACTATATATGCAATAAAAACACTTTCATGCGGTGTCGTGTTCGTTATATTTTTCATGACATAAAATAACGTGAGAGATAGAAACTTGTGTAAGAAAAATTCCTGCACTACAGCGTTCCAATTTTGCAGTATAATATATAACGTTTTATGTAGATTTATGCTAAATTTTGGCATTTTTTCGCTCTATGTGTTTAAATAGTTTGGGATGGCGATCTAAAGTCATCAATTAATTAAAATTTTGATGATACCTATGATCGTGATCGATCTCTTGTTTTCCATACCTTTTCAAGGTTGATAGGTTGTGTCGAAAAAACGAAAAGCCAATGGCAAACAGTTGAAATTTCTTGCGTAAAACGGCTTTTCAATACTTGATTATATAAATCCAAAACCGGCCCCTTTTCACTCGAGGATTCTGCCAGAGAGTATGAAGGCTGTAACATTTTAATTCTTAAACTTGAACAGAATGACAGGGTCTGTTGTAGCACGCCAAGTTGGATATAATTTGAATATCATTCGATAGCTCAGGAATGGGTCTTATAAGCAATCAATCTTAACGCAAATGATCCATTCATTTAGTGAGGTCAGGCTGGAATATTCATTTTTAGAAATTCAGCTTGATGCTTCGCAGAATTTTCTACATGCTTTAAAACCATGATACATTCACACACAATTTATTATGCTTAAATCATCAAATATTACAAATCACCTTTAAACATATACAGAATATTCTCGCTTTCTGAAGATTGAGGTAGGCTATCTTCTTGACATCCTACGTAAACACGTTCTTACGTCAAAGATTCTTCGACACGTGCGTAAGATGCTTCATATAACTTGCGTGAAATTTGGTATGCGAGATAGTGGTGGAAAAGCCCGGGGGATTTACCTCGCATCTCCAAGCATTAATTCGCAAAATTCTTCAAAAAATTCAAAAGTTGTTAAGATAGTATACTAATAAAGCTAAAGCAAAAATCCATCAATAACTTCTCATGCCTATCATAATTAAATTTCATTTGTGACCACATCGGAACATTAAAATAGCTTCATCAATTGTATCTACCACACGTCTGCAGAGAAAATCTCCATCACACCCAGGGGATATGACGTCATCAAGTATAGTGTATTAGTCAATTTGTTAAACGTTTCAATCAATATTCAGTATCAGTTATTATTGCTCTCTGCTCTCGCAGTAGGGTAATTGTATTGGGAAAGTTGATCGTTAGTTATGCTATGGATGGTTATAAGCTGAAGACCAATTAAGAATGGTTGAATAGGTACTGCTGAATACTGTAAATTGACTTAGGTAAATTGTTTTATAGGTGAATAATGAGTCTTTGTGTCAATTTGAAATGCCACACACTGTGTAATACGCGTTGGTTTGGTAATTAGGTAGGAAAACATAGAACCAAAAAGATTGGAATAAAGTACAACGTTACAGAAACGGTTATTCCATGCTGCAACGGCTAACGTTATGCATAACTTTCCGCGCTGTTTTACCTTTGAGAACATTTTAAGAAATATTATTTAAATTAATAGTTAAAAAGTCGTGAGTTGTGAAAATTTACACCGAAATTTACCTAGCGTAAGAAAGAATTTGTGGCTCACGAGTACGCAAAGGGAGAAGTGGTGAAAAGCACATCGAGAAAAGTTCCATTTTGAACTTCTCTATATAGGCAAGAACGACTAGAAAAATGAACATTGTATTAGAAGGCAGTTGCCAGTTTATATACCAAGCATGTGCCATCAAGAATTTTTAAATAGATTACGATGATTTATTACTGACTATACTAGTATGCGAGTAGTTCCTCCCAAGATATGTTTTACGTGCATCATCGTACATATCGCGTGCAAGGTATATCGTAAGTGTGGTTTGTAGGCTGAAATATCACGTAAATTAAAAGAATGCTTTCTCGCAGTTCTATCATTGCTTTGTTAAACTATGAGATATCTTATTAAAAACTAGTTAGACTGTTTCCCAGCAGCCGAGTTAATTTCATACTCAAACGCAAATTTAACGAACTAGTGTACAGTAGCCAGATATTAAAACACAAAAACTTACTTACGTTATATAGTTTCCATATATACATTATAAGCATTTTCTGACCAGAAAAATTGCTGCCGTTCTGAAAATAACGAGGTATTTCGTATTATTAGTTACTGGCCTATGGTTTTGTTCGGGTTGATGGTTTTACAATCGTTGTAGTTGTGAGCATCATAAAAAATGGCATATTTAGTTCAGTTTTTAATTGAAGATTTTTTTCAGGAGGAAAAAGAAAATGTCGGACCAACCGAGAACGGAATCGGTGACTTCAATCACAATAGGAGAGGAAGATATTCTCCAATCAGCTCGCAGAGACAAAAGATTGAGACTAAATGTTGGAGGAGTTGTTCATGAGGTAGAATCTTATTTGTTATATACTACCAAATATATTTTATCGATATGCATTTCTTTAGAACAAGAGTCGCTATCCGAGATATTGTAGTTATATGGGTACTCCCGTAGTGTGTGTACCAGGTTAGGGTCAGTCATAATTTTATTCCGATTTTCCTCATTTTAGTTTTATCACGAGTTCGGGGACTGTTAGCCAAGTGAATATAACTCCTGCATATAGGTTTCAGTCCCTTTACACAACTTGATATAAAGTAGGCGAACAAAATTAGTTACCTCCATATTGGTACACACACTTCTGGAGAGCCGTTATATGTTTATCCAATTATGGTAAATTAAATAATACCGTTATCATGGACCATTTATTTTCACGCAAACTGAAAATGAACTCCTGCATATAGGTTTCAGTCCCTTTACACAACTTGATATAAAGTAGGCGAACAAAATTAGTTACCTCCATATTGGTACACACACTTCTGGAGAGCCGTTATATGTTTATCCAATTATGGTAAATTAAATAATACCGTTATCATGGACATTTATTTTCACGCAAAATGAAATTTGTGTAATTGGTTGTGGTCCAAAAATATAGACCTTAATTCAGACTTGAGCTCTATATGCTTCATGCATTTCAAATTTTTGGTTTAAATTTACGTCATGTATTATAAATGCAATTCGTTGCGTTAGTCACGAAGATTACAATTTTCTATATGACTGTTTTGAAAACCTTTGCTAATAATTTATGAATGTCAACCACTATACGAAATTAGTTTTATTTTTTAATTTTTATGGTAGACCATGCCTGATCATTTGTTCAGTGCTATAATTTCTATACATATTTTAGCCACTGGTTCATATGTATTTCAAACTTGGTTTCAAGAATTAAAAAACAATTGTTTCAAGGCTCGGTGGACTACTCTTGATAAAATTCCACAAACAAGATTAGGAAAGTTACATCACTGCACCACTATGGCGTCACTTTTGGAATTAGTAGATGATTATGACGCAAATAAAGAAGAATTTTTCTTCGATCGACATCCAGGTGCTTTCACGCCAGTTCTCAATTTTTACAGGTAAATTTTTTAACATATTATTTAGTAGCTTTTTGATAAAATAATCATTCACGTAAGTACAGAATGTAGGCTTTTGACAGTAGAAGTTAAAAAGCACAACAGCATCATGGAAATTGTTCCCCATGTCCTAAATGAAAATTAACAAACATTAAAACGTCACGACACTTGAATGCTTACGGTTCATAAATCTGTATTAGATTTTTGTCAGTTTTCGATTCGGATTTGCCTTGTTGCTGTACTAATTGAATCAGGGTTGAGGTTATGAAAGATATTATCTACTAATACAAACGTACAAAACAATGTTCTTAAGAGCAAGTGGAAATACAATAGAAGAAACGAATGAGCGACCATGCAATATCATAGCGGTGCTGTACGTTTGTTCAAAACCATAGCTCTATTCAATTTAGTTTAAGCTAATAATTTACTACCTTTTGGGCATTGCAAATGAACATTATTTCCACGGGTCAATCCTTAACTCAATTTTGACGGCCATTGCTCAGTTATTGCCGCTGGCCGCTCAGAGTTTATCGGCTTAATATATATAATTAGTCAGTTATGTAAAATTGAAATATTGGGTTGGAAGGTTGGGGATATTACATTAGTGATAACTTTTATTGTCCGTTTCATAATGAAATCAGTTTTAAATTGAAAAATAAATGAAATTGATTATAGCTGGTATAATGTCAATCCAAGTTGGTTAAAAATGTGAGCTCATCTGAGATAGACATAATGATTGAAATAATAAGAGACCAACAGTTCATAAAATATTTGTCTGAGATAATTCCCCTGGTAAACTTTGTGAAGAACAATCAACCGATCGCTACACATGTACTTGTACTTTTTATGTGCGCTCTATCCAATAGAAAATCTTTCGCGGTATATTTCTGATATTTTAGTTATGTTATTCTGCCTTGGGAAGAAATGTATGTAAGGGAATATGTATAAAGATTTATTCTGTAATATGTCCATTCGTCTTGTTTTTCCCGATTTCAGCCACGAGGTCGCTTTGTTTGGAATAGATCTTCTGATTTTCAAGAATCTAATCATTCTCTTAATATTTATAATCAAGAACAACTAGGAAAACATCGTCCCTCATCCGCTTTAAATTTCCCTCCACACACACAGTAATAATCGTTAAACGTATTTGAATGTAAAAATATTTCCAACTTTTCTATTGTTCATATTGAATCAAACATACTTACGCTAATTCTACAGGGATGAGCTATACAGTAATGTGAGCAACGTGGATGGTTTCACATTATCCACTTTAGTAATAATAGAGTAAAATTGCAGTGGACTTCCATAAATAATATTTTCAAAATACGTGACAAATAGCTTTGAAAGGCGAACTGTGTTACCTCAACAGTGTATTTTTATTATGGTACTTACAGAACTGGTAAGCTGCATATGCCAGAGGATATCTGTGCTCTTGCATTTAGTGAAGAGTTGGATTATTGGGGAATTGAAGACATTTACATAGAATCATGCTGTCAAGGTTTGTAACAATTTCATCATTTGATAATACAACAGGAAGGGATATTTAACTGAAATTCATACGTGAGCTCATCGGCCATATATATACCATTACGGACAATTTCGTTATACCGTATTGGAAATTGTATAAGTTTAAATTTGGTTAAATTTGACAATTTTTGCGAATGAATATAACATAAACATAATAATATAACAAAATATAACATGACTAATAAAAAAAATTCAATGTAGGCCTATATATCCGTATATGGAGTGGGTTAGATTTATTGTCATGTTCTGTATTTTTGGACATGAATAAGGTTTACTTGAAATAACGTCCCGCGTTCCGAATTTTTTTTAGGTAAAGGCAACTAAAGCACATATCTCATTCTCTTTTAATAAATATAGGGTATTTTATTTTTAATCCAAAATTAGTAATATTAATTTTAGAAGTTGGAAATTGACGTCGTCCATCACATGCTTTTGCTTTCATGGTTCTTTGTAGACACCTCATATCACATATCTGTCTCTGAATCCATCATATTCTAATATAGCAAATGACGGATTGGCGTAATGCGTCAAATTGGTATATTTGTTCATGATCTCATTAAATTTCATGGCAGTGCATACTGCATGTATTCACATCGCTGATGGTGAGAGAAATTAAATAAGTATTCCGACGATCTCATTTTTATTATATGCTACTAAAATACCGAAAACCTTTCTGCTATGTCAACTCTTCTCGCCCAGTTTCGTTAACAGTTTCTAATTTTGTCGGTCATAACAAAAATCCGCAATACTGTACGGGATTTGAATGTTTCCAGTCAAAGAGGAGAAAGGAAAAATTAGACCCGGAAACGTTGATAGTTACAATGCCTTATTAGTATTGTTAGCTTCTATGTGACTTTCTTACCCAAGTGCTATTGTCGTTTTCAAGTTGTCAGCTTATGACAGGTTGCCTGATAGGATGACGGAGACTCAAGAAATAAATCTACAAACAAGATAGAATTTAGTATTTATCCCATCATGTCGCATATTTATGCGATTCCTATACTATAAAATATATTGCAAATATTCATATGTTAGCTGTAAATGTGTATAGTGCCAGAAGGTCATACTATATCACAGCAATAACGTATACAGGATTTAGTCATCCTTTGGTTATAAGAACCTGCGCTTATGAAACAAGCCAATATGATATTGTATTCGTCTTGTTGCTAAATTTTCAACATATAGGTGAGCTGAGTATTTACTGTAAGCAGCAGATATTTTTCCAATCTTGATCTCAGAAAGTGGGCGCTCCATCAGTTTATTGCGTTTACCTCTTCTTCACTGGATTGGTATTATGATATCATCGCACTAAAACCTCCTACTGGATTTAAAAAAGAGTTGCATCTCAAATAAGCATCAGAATTTGGGTCCAATATTAAATGGCACCATCGCATGCTTTTAGGCGTTAGTGTGTTATATAAGGTATTGCCACATATTCATAGGAAACTTCAATACGAGCTAACATAATCTCTTGTAACGCGATTGTCATAGTAAATAGTGATGACTGATAAACAGTGAAAATTTTTGACATGAAGATGTCTGTCTAAGCGATGCGGTTTATCTGAACCTCGTATGTGTCAGCGACAAGAGATTATAAAGATTAATGAGCCAGATAACCTGGTAACTGTGATAACAAGAAAGTACAATCAAACTTCACATGGACTAACGTAGGCTTCCGGACTAAGTCTTTTTTTTAAATGAACTGAAGTTTTTAAATTATCTTTATTTTACAGGAAGATATCATCAGAAGAAGGAACAAATTCTTGATGAATTACGGTAAGTATCTATAATAAAATTTTTGTATGCAATATTTTCATAAGATAGGTATCCCAAAACATTATTGAATTAGTTCATGTAACAAGTTCTGGTTGGACAAAGCGCCTACGAGAGGGATGAAAATATTTAAACGTAGAATTCTACTTCACACTACGCGACCAAATACCAGTTGCCACAATATTGTATTTAGGCCAAAAGCAACAACTCCAACAGAGAAGCCTATTCATAATGCCTCAAGATACGCACTATAAGTGCTTCATGTTGCCTGACGATCTAGTCGATCTTTTGTAGAAAAATAACCTGTATAATATTTCCTCACTCGAATCAACCTTTATTCTTGTCGATGAAATAATCATGTCTATTCAACTTCGGTTGAGAATATACCTATAAGTAGTCGATATTCCAATTGTGGAAGCGTACGTTCGTTTGGGAATGTGATCATTAAGCCATTCCAACCAACGATCCCATTTGTGACGAAATATTGCTTATTGTTTGGTAACTTAGACCAGGGAAACAATCTACTTATTTGACGCTATTTTCCAAATTGAACTCACGTCTTTTTTCAACTCTAAAAAGAGTGCTTCCGTACTCTTTTCGGCACATACGCTTTATATCTGAACATTTTTTTTTATTATTGTTGTGATTAATTATAGCGCATATTCATCTGAATAGAATGTCATCAATACAAACTACTACGTGCTTTAATGAATAACACACCATTGATGATGAAGTCGGCATTGATATACGCTATGTGCAAAAGAGAACAATATATGCATAAGTTGAATATATTTTCACCGTTCTCGTTGACATTGCTACCAATCGAATGGTTGGTAAATATATCCAGTATCCAGACATCATTTCAGTTGAATAAAATGGAAAAATAAAACATATACGCAATTCATTACATCTGTAATCTTCTCCATGTTCAAAATGCAAAGTTATATCTTGGACATTGAATTCAAGTCCTAATGTTCGACTAGAAATCGTATGATTCGTATAAGCTAATTTGAGGCATGTATTTTTTCATGTACTTGTAAGTGTAATTGTTGATGATCTAAATTAATTCTCTTTTTTTGTTCTATAGGAGAGAAGCGGATGCGTTGAGAGAAAGGCAAGGTGATGATTTTGATGGAATGTGCTGCGCAGATAAAAGAAAGAAATTATGGGATCTTCTGGAGAAACCGGGAACATCTCTCGCCGCTAAGGTTTTTATTCTTAGGTTTATCTCGCGCTATCTTGTCATATCGTATACTTTCCTCACTCTATCAGAAACAACTAATGTTGTACACATATCGAAAATATGTTTGAGTTTCCAAAGTGATTCCAACGCTACTCATGTCAATATATGACTTAAAGTGTATTTGGAATATCATTTTTCCGTGTTATCTGTAAAGGCAGTACGAACACTTATTTCAAAGGGATTGATATTATCCATTATCCACAAGTGCATTGTCTAATTGCATTGCTTTCAGTAGGCGTATAGATATGAATTGACGTGACAATTGAATTTTTCGGACGAAAAATAATTGAAATGTTCCTGTTTAATTGCCCACTAGCTTGATTAATGTTTCACGAATTTTCCCATTTTTTTTTATTTGTATTGACTTTTCTCAGATTCTTGCCATTGTGTCGATTCTTTTCATCGTCTTATCAACTATAGCTCTCAGCCTTAACACCCTCAAATCATTACAAGGTAATAAATATAATTCAAATATAGACAATCGAGCAATAAAATAAATACCGATGCATTAAAGATGAATTTGTCATATCTACTGAGAACTATGATATATTATTCTCAAAAATACTTCAAGTGTGATAATGTACTCTAAATAAAAAATAATCCTTAAAGTTGTTTCGCTTTCAAATGAATTAATAGGAATTCGATTTGCTTTTACGAAAGGATAACAAATTTCAGCGCATATACCGAATATACTATAGATCCAGAATGTAAAAGTTCACTCACTCGAGCCTTTATGAATCATCACTATCCTTAACATATTAAGACTTTGGTAATTGGTCGATAACACAAATATATCAGATAGAAAATCACGAATCACAAAACTTTTTTTTTCAGGTGAAGACGGAAACGATAACGCACAGTTAGCGCATGTTGAGAGTGTATGTATTGCGTGGTTTACGATGGAATATTTACTTCGTTTGATATCAGCTCCTAACAAATGGAAATTTTTCAAAGGACCTTTGAATATAATAGATTTATTAGGTAATTATGTAATCTAATTTGATGTTTTATTTCCAATCTTATCGACGTGAACACTGAGCACGATTCAACACTACACTTTTCTTATTTTTAGCTGTACTCCCGTATTACGTAACAGTATTTTTGACGGAGTCCAACAGTCAAATTCTACAATTTCAAAATGTTCGAAGGATTGTGCAAATTTTTCGAATTATGAGAATAATGAGAATATTAAAATTAGCTCGGCATTCTACGGGACTACAATCACTCGGATTTACACTGAGAAGAAGTTACAATGAGCTCGGCTTGCTAATGTTATTCCTCACGATGGGAATTATGATATTTTCAAGGTAAATTCGGTGTTTTATCTTTTGCGCCCGCTCATTTGATTTAATTCCGATTTACGTGAATTTGTAAATAAATATTCCATAATTCATCTTATAAATTTGTGTTTTCATAGCGTTAACCATACCTGAACTATAGTTGTTCATGGAAATATATCGGTCTTTTGAATAGAAATGTTTCTATTGAGATGATAATCGATCCCAAAACTTATTGTGGTTCATGGTTATGAATAGTTTTGACTAATAATTGATGCGTTGTTATTGTATAATACGGTTTTGAATTATAACATTGCCTGATGGTAGATTCATTGTTCAAAAGGCTTCATTATACTTTAATGGAATCACAATTTCTCCTTAATAGAGCAACATTCTTCAGATATTTCCAATAATTCGTGATCGCCGCCTCATTTTTCATCATTTACTATGTTAGGGCTTGATTATATTTGTCGTTTCAAGTAATGCTAGTTGAAGAAAATCGTTAAAAACATTTGTTGTGAACATTTTAAACACAAAATTAATTTACGTTTACTAATGGTGATCATTCATGGCCAGAGCAGAAAATTTCACATGTTAAGATGTGTTAACTGCTGCTAGGTTGGATTTTTTTTAATTCAGTGGCAAATTGTTATGAAAATTCATGTTGTGGCGAATCCTTGTGAAAATTTGCGTTGTAGCAATTAACTTGGGAAAAATTGCTTTCTAGTATATTTTTGCGAAAATTCGCTTTGTGGCGAATCCTTGTGAAAAATCGTGAAATTTATATATACATGTTTTTTAAATTAGTTCAAATTTAAAAACATTGATATGACTTGATATAACTCAAACCAAACTAGGCTTTGTACGTACAGTAATCAACATTGAGAAACTAATATATTTAGAAATTCTGGAACTTATACCCAACCATATTTCTACATTCGTTCAAATAGATGGTTTCATTTAATTAAACAATAAAATAAACGGAGATGTAAATAGAAAAATATTCATGTCAACAAGTCCGCCTATTGGTTACTTGAAATGTTTATCATCTGTATTATCATATAACCACGAATATCGGTGCCATTTATATCGATATTGACTCTGAATTTATCCATATTTGTCTTAATAAATTTAACTTTTTTGTATTTTAGTTTGGCGTACTTTGCAGAAAAAATCGAAAACGGCGACCAATTTAGCAGTATTCCAGCATCATTCTGGTGGGCTACAATAACCATGACAACAGTGGGGTATGGAGACATTTACCCTATAACACCTTTGGGTAAGAAACTCCACAATCGTATAGTAGTCCTAAATAGGATCCGGCATGTCAGCAAATCATTGGATGTCATCTTCGTCTTTCCCATCATCATCTTTTTCAGCAAAATCAAAATTACTATTTTCTCATTTTAGGAAAAGTTGTCGGTTCGATTTGCTGTATCACAGGGGTGCTCGTTATCGCCCTACCTATTCCTATTATAGTCAACAACTTTAGTGAGTTTTATAAAGAACAAAAGCGACAGGAAAAATCAATAAAACGAAGGGAAGCTCTTGAAAATGCCAAAGCAAATGGGCAAATGATCAACATTGGAAACGATTTCAAAAAGGTAGATTAAACTAATCTAACGGCGATTATGGAAAGAATGTCGGAAATTCCAACTAATAATTGATATATGTTTGTTATATTTTATGGCATAATTCGGGAATCGTGCATCATCACTCACTGATGTTATGAAACATGTCCAGATGTTGTAATTCTAAACAGCATTACTAACAATCGTATGAACATTATACAAACACAAAAACAAACGATTAGAATGAAATTGTTTGATGTGTGATAGCTGGAAAAGGAATTCATTCGAAGAGCGATTGCGTACCACGAGTGCTTTCCTTTTTCTATTTTGAGCCATTGTGGAAATGGCAGAGCGTACAATACTCTCGTTAAGTATAACATATACAAGACTTATATTTTTACTTTTATTTTCTTTATAATCCAGTCCCTGGAATTGGTTGATGTAGATGTAGCAATTGACGAAAATCCCGGCAGCAAATCACCGTCTCAACACATACGAAGTTTCGAAGAAAAAGATACTCTGGGGTGAGTTTTCTCCTATTTCCACCACTTGAAAATGAGTATATGCCTGAATATTTTTCAGATTCAATTGTTGACGAATGTATCAGTAGAACCCACATATTCATTTGCCCAAATTTATAAAACAATTCTCTTCCAATGAGTACTATTCAAATCATTCGTTTATTTCCTACAGTATTGGGAATTCAGACTCCTACCACCACTTGGGTTCTCCAAACTTATTGAAGCAAAATTCAAAATTAGGGAACGGAAGTAGATCCGCTAGCCACTCTTCGATGGAATCGCCTTCTTCAAAAAATCTATCGAAGCAAATTTATCCGGTTACAACCTCAACTGCATGGGCAGAGAATGATCCGGAATCAGGGTACTCCCCTCCACAGCATAACAATATAAAAGATAACAGTTATGCCGATGACGAAATACGAAACGATTTAGAAATGCGACTAAAAGCTATCGCGACAAACAATAACACAAATCAAAACAACAGTCACATAGGTATGTATTGGAAGTTATAATATTCTTCGTAATATTTTATATTGGAATAAATGATGGTGCTCTCGAAGTATTCGTACCAAGATGTCGCACAACCTGAACATAGTATGTGTACTAGGTTAGGGTTCAGGCTGTGCGTCATCTTGGTACGAATACTCACGGAGCGCCTAAATAATTGGCTGTGATGTTGAATGCAAACCTGAATTGATGCTCTTTGAACAACAAATGGTAATATCAACATTATATATTTTGAGAACAATGTTCTCAAAATCTTCCATTTGTTTTACTTTGCAGACAATCACGATGCTGAAATTGAGAGATATCAATTCTCTTTGCTAAATATCCCGAACACAAATGATGACGTAACTAATTCACGCACAAACTCACCACGTGGTGCGTTGAGGTCAGACGGGTACATTCGTTCGGTGTCTTATTCTCATCTGGAGCCATCGTCTGCCGACTCAAAAAGAACAGATGATGGAAGTGATGTGTTTTCGTTTTCTAGTTTGGATCGACAGACAAACAGAGACAGTTCCTCTGTATCGACAACGACAAGCGGTACGTGACTTTTTAGCGTACGCTATCTACATTTAGGCTAATAGTAATTTGTAAACAACGTCTGATGTTTTGCTATAGGTGATTGTTATTACACATGAAGTGGCTATATGGATATCTGTTGTTGTTTTTTACTTTGTTGTGACAGGGTGACCTATTTGGTGCAGAAAAATTCCCGTTTCTCAGTAACTATAATGGAATATCATTTTTACAAAATGAAAACAATTAAACTTTGCCCAGATTTACCATTGAATACGCACATTGCATGGGATTGCTTTTTTATGAATCTTGAAATATATAACAACTTTTAGGAATCAGCGTTGACGCAGCATCGGGACAGTGGCCGGTCACAGATTTAATAATAAAAAGGGAAGATTCTGGTTTAGGTTACGACCCATTATGTGTACCGAGTACTACAAAAGCACCATTACTTGGAAGTATAGAAGAAAGTGGAAGCTTTGAATCAACGAATTCCGCTGATACAATAATTGTTGCCACCAACGCATCTTCAACAGGTAATTTCTACCATTTCACTTTGAATTTTTATTTTTAGATCATGAAGGCTTGAAACTCTATATTTACTATAATATGTAGTATTGATAATTGGTATTCATTAATGTTTCATAAAAATGTGTAACATTTTCTCCTCATTTATGTATGTTAAATTGGTTAACTTTTTTGTAGAATGAATTTAAAGAAAATATAAAACAACCAGGGTATATTAAATTGAGCAGATGATGTTGAAAACCAGGAGAAATTCGGGTATTTTCAAAATATAGCAGATATATCTTCACCCAGGGGCGGACTAAGCCCCTTTGGTGCCCTAAGCACTGGAGGCTTTGGTGCCCCCATATGTGTCTTTTAAAATACATATAATTAAGTGTATTATCCATCAAAAATACTCACAACCAACAGTAAAAAAATACAACTTCTACGAACATTTTTAGGTTTTCTTACATTTTTTTGACTGTGAAATTTTGCTCATATTCCCAAAACTAATCTTATTCTTACATAATACATCTTTTACATTAAATAATGAACAACACAAAATTTTGAAAAGATGAAATTGAAATAAAACAATACCAACAGTAAGGAAGCAAACGATGTTTTTCGGTACATTTACTTGAATTTGATTCTGATAAATTTTCTCATATTATCAAAACAAGTCTCTCTCCATACTAGATACTACGCCACTGACATTACAAATGCACCACTAACATTTGAAAAGACAGAAGTCTTTCACTTACTTTTGAAAAGTTTTTTCCTAATTTTTTTAGCTGCAAAGTCTTTGATTAGATCCTCAAAACTAAGCTTATGTAACACATCTGCCTCTATACTCAACAGAGATAAAGCATCTAATATTCTAGTCTGTCTTGTTTCATAGTTGTTCTGTAGGGGTTTTTAATATACTTCAGCTGAGTAAATGAACGTTCTGCTGAACAATTTGTGATCATTAATGTTAAAAATATTTGAAAGCTATTGTCTACATTTGAAAAGGCGCACTCAATGTTATAATCTACAAGAATTTTGTAAAGTTCAGCATGACTGAATCTTGATTTTTTTTCCTGTGTCATTGAATTTATGGAGCACATATAAATGAAACTGCTGAAGCTCAGCTGAGAAATTACTGTTGAAATCTTCTGGGTAAGCATCAATAAGCTTTTGACAACCCTGCGAATACCTTTCCTTCTCAGCAGATGAAGAGACATTTGGTTGCAGTGGTAGCGTGAGCGCTTCATAGCGTTCAAATTCATCTCGTGGAATGCGCAGCTGGCCTCGTAATGATGCATACAGATGCGCGCATGTTTGTAAGTCTACATTCTCACTTTGCAGAACTTGACTTACTCTGTGAAAATTCTGTAAAATTTCATTCCAAAACAATAACATAAAACGAATTCCAGCTCTTGCATTTTAACTGCAATATAAGTATTCTAGCTGCCTAGATTTGCATCAACTGACTTAGCAGAATATGATTTCCATATATTCTGGGAATTGTCACGATTAAGACTCACGCGTCAAGTCTCAACGTGAATCGAAATACCAGATGAACCGAGTACAAACTGCAGTTTAAAATTTTACCAGTACTTATTAGTCTAGTCTACCTTACCAGAAAACTCCCCAACTTCGCTGACCTCTAGATCGTCGAAATGCGATCGCGGAACCGCCACATAGTGCGCCATTTTTAATTTTGATGTTGTCGCTACACCAAACTTTCGACAAGTAAGTTTCAGTGTTCATCACTAATGTACCTTCCCCGAGCATCAACCTCCTTGTTGACCTCGAGTAATTGGCCAATCAGCAAGATGCAAAAAAGTGACGTAACAATGCACCCTTTTCGCATCCGCTCAGACACTTTTCTCACTCAGACAGATTTTCAGGCATGGTTGTAAACAGTACCTCGTTTTCGCGTTTTTATCTCTATTCGTTAGTTTTCAGTTGTGTTTCGGAAATTTGAGTATAAATTAGATAATTAAATGATCACCATGTCTTTTTATAAGTTTTAATTCAATTGCAGTAAATGAAAAATTGGTTTAAAAATAGCTGTGTTAGACTAGGCTAAAATTCCTTACCGGTACTTATAAAAAGGTGATTATTGTACGCCATGAAACATAATGATGGTCTCAACAAATACCCCATTTTACAGGGGCCAACTCGCGAAACCACTTCTAAAATAAGCCCCGAGAATTTTGCAATTGTAAAGTATAGGAAGAATTTTTCGGGGGTCAAAGGTCGGGGAAAGGTCCATTGATGTACACGATTTTTTAAAGGTAGTTCGCAAACCTCCAAACATTGATCGAGAAGCTTAATATGATGCTTGAGGAAAAGAAAATACGAACAAGTCTGAGTTGTCTGTTCAACTCGTAATATTTTATTAAACACCGATGAACTATTGAAAATTCTGTTATAAAAATTTCTGTGGTGCCCCCCTTTGCTTGGTGCCCTAAGCACGTGCTTATATTGTTTACTGGTTAATCCGCCCCTGTCTTCACCTAGCAATAGCTTCTGCATAACCGTTTTGCGTTAAACGTGTTTGTCAAGCCAAATACAGGGATGCACAGTTTCGTACCGATAGTGCATGAACTGAAATTTTATTTCGTTAGGGTAGGATTTACATTTTTATCCCGGGTAAAAAAAGCCGATCAAACGACTTAACCATATTACGTACCGATGCCTCTGGTCCGTTTATCAGTCCATGTCGGGTATGGGATTAGTTTGTCAGTTATTTGTTGTTTTCAGATGCATGGATTTGATGGCGGAGAACCTACGGCGGCGAAGAGTCTAGCAATCCGTTCACACATAATTATCCCCCACGTGATTCGAACCTGCGACCCCACGCAGGGTAATCAGAGGTGCGGTTGCAAGTGCATTCCTAACGTTTAGCACGATGCGCCACACCACCGAGCCAAACCCGAATTCTTAACCTGAAAATGATGTTAATATTTTTTTTTCAGGGAAATTAAAACGACAGTGGTCCCAGGACACGCCAATATATCATATAGGATACAATCCAATCTCTCACCAAGATAATCCAACAACCTAACAAAAAGGGAAGGAGACGTACGGCCAACCTCGGGACAAGTTTCCATTGCGCAAAAAGATTATTGAAATCTTCTTGATAGAAATGTCATCAGCAAACGGTGGCGTGTTGGTTCTGTCAAGACCATAAACAAATTACTATCGTGGACTAAAATATTTATAATCCAAGTACAATTCAACACATAAGTGACATCAAACATGTGAAGTCCCGGATTAAGCAGAATTTGTCATGATTGTTCAGTTGATCAATTTATTAAATACTAATAATGTTCCCTCTAAAATATTTCTTTTCCCAATGTAAAGTTGAATTACAAGTTTACAAAAATTTTTCTTTATTGCCAATGCACTGTGAAATAATATGGTATTTGGGTATGTCACTGTTCTTCAAGTTCTATTTTTATTTTGTGAAAAGGTGCTCACTGCTTACCAGCGAGCGGCAAACAATCTATTGAAACTTTGAGTACAAAATGCGCGCAATAAAGGTTCAAGGTATTATTTTAACAAGTGGTCTTTCAGGTCATTTTTACTGATCAAATATAAACATATTTATTGAAAGCTAAATAAACCGATGCCTCATATATTGTAACAAACATTTGGTAGCGATGTTCAGAACGAGTAGAACGTTTGAAACGTTAATTCATCTGATCTTACCAACCACGAACGCTTTAACTCCGGGAAACAAAAGTTGTCTTTTAGTAAAATATCGAGTTCTTATTTTGTTCCTTATTATTTGAATTTGTACTTATTCGGAAATTATTCTAAAAATGAATATATGAGATGCAGTTATTAAAGAATATGAGGTGTTTGAAATCTACCTCGAACTACTGCGTTAAAAATTGTTTGTGTCCAATATGAAATTAGAATGAATTATAAATGAAAATCATTTGAAATTTTCTTTAGTAGCAAATATATATATTTTATTTGACAAAATGCTTTTTCAGTCATAGACAATTCCCTGAGATGTCATTGAATTTACTACTCAAACGTAATGTTATTATCAACAACATGTAACCCGGATTGTTACATATTCATTTGAATTTCAAGAATCAATTTGTTACTACTTGACATGCTATATATTTAATCTACCAAAGTTGTTTCAGTGTGATTTGAATTGCCGCAAACATTTATTATATATATATATATAAACTTTCATTTTACTTTTCTGAAAAATTATTTTTCTTTCTTTGGTATTGCTCTTTAAACTTATAAATATTGTTGCACTGAAAGTTTTATTGAAGTATAAAATATAAAATCTATGTGTTTTATCAACAAGTTTGTGTAATATTGAGAGACTTTGATTAATGCGGTAAATTGAAAATATCTCATGAAACATCGCAAAAGATGAGGCAACGTTATTAGAAAAATTGTGCATGTTAAAAGCAGTAAACATGTGAGGAATCTATGAGAAAAAGATGTTGTTTGAATCTAAATTCCGAAATCGTGTTTGAGCTTGAAATATTGTTCGGCGGCGAATACCATGATTTATACTCAAAAAAATATAATCGACTCTTGTGATACTGACTTGCTGACATAGAGAGCAAAATATGGTCGCGATTTCTGCTATTTCGGTTATTACTAATTGTGAATACGCCATTGGATCAACTGGGAAGTTGGTAAGTGAAAGGTAAAACCATGAAAGTGCAATTTTCTAGCTTTGAGTATGTATCAAATATACAGTAGATTTTCAGTTTTAAATAAATCCGCGAAAAATACGGCTCCCATCAGCGGATCTTGAGGCCCCAATTGTTAGTCACAGTCTTTCCTTGAGTGTCTGTCCGTCATAAACTGAATTTGTTTATGTACCTTGCGAAAACTGAACTGTTGACGGTAGAAAAACTTTCTCGTTTTTGTAAAAAGAATATTGGTTCATCAACTCTTTCATTTCTTTGACAAAGCGTTGTGATCATAAATATAATTAATCACCCAATAAAATATAGGCTAGCGCCTTGATGAGGAGGACAAAACAAGGTTTATGAGAACAAAAAATCTATGCTAGATTGTCAGATAGTCGTAATCGGTACTAAAAGTCACAGGACTGTTGCACCTGCATACTTTTGCACCCACTAACATTTGCAACAATATATTTGAACATTTTAGCTCCCGCATGCATATAAATTGCACCCATGGACCTTTGCACCGCGTACATGCGCACCCACGTATATTTGTACTTGTGAACATTTGAACCAATGTATATACATTTGCACCTATGTATAGGCTACCTTAGAACCCGTGTACATTTCAGGACATGCCTATACCCGTGTACGTTTGGGCCCGTTGACATTTGCACTCACGTTCACTTATTTGCACCCATGTGCATTTACAACTTGCATTTTTTCAAACTAATGTTTATTATTAGATCCGGTCACTCAGCGGGAAACCAGTTCAGGGGATGTAGCTAAACTACCTCTATTTATGATATATTTGAAATTAGAACATAAATAAAAACCTTGGCGACCATGACTCTAATTATAATTATTTTGAATAACGTGTCGTTCACGCAAATATTCAGCTTAAATCCCTGGGATTTTGTCATAACAAGATAAGATATTCTGAATTCACAGCCGAACGCATTTAGAAACGACATCGTACAGAAAAAGACCCTCGATATTATCACGATACATCTTGTTTTCGACGAAGTGCGCTGTGATATGTGGTACGACAGGTAATACCCAGAGTCGTAGGCAGGTCCGATAAAACTCATATGAGAGCAACTGCACATAGCTATATCTAACCGTGGAAGTCTGATATAGGCAGTGAACTATACGCTGGGTAAGATAAAGAATTCAGAGGACCGAAGTCAAACCCAGAATAAGAAACACAACCGTAGAATATTCCTCACTATAACAGGGACCTGACCTTCCTTTCCACGCAAAATAGCCACGGTGTGGTTACTTTTGCCGACTCTTATTTTGGCCCAGCAAACACGCTAATCTAGTGAAAACGACGTTATCGACTAAATATAACCACAGGTCGCAATTGGTCGGTATGGTTACCGATTCACATTATTTTCGTCAACCCCCGATGTCAGAATAACGGCCTTAAACACAACAATATTGCATAGGAATAAATCCAAAATAGACATTTGAACAATGATAAAAGCACCGGTTTATTAACCAACGATACAAGCCGGAAGAAAAATAATGTCAAATCATCAGTAAAGTAAAGTTACTTTGTAAAACATTTCTCAAACACAATTGAATTTGCTGATATGGTGATTTGATAGTATAATGGACTAAATTCTACCATCGAATTATTTTAATGCAGCTGGATTCGAGACTATCATTAAGTTTTTACACCTGCTACCCATGCTTGGCGAAAAAGGCCCTGGAAGATGTCATCACACCATGCTCAGGATGGGGGAGAGAAACCAACCACCAATTGAAGTATTATTAGCGCAGATGAGAGGACGGACTATTAGCACAAAAGCGACATTTTGAAGATGAAAACATAGCTAACATGTACAGGTTCATACAAATTTAGCATTCTTAGGTGGAGCTTGGTGAAGCTATAAAGAACTGTATTAATTTCAGTGTAATGATTCACATGATTAACTAGAAGCCTTACTTAACATAATCCACTAATAATGTTCTAAATTTGAGGTAATGAAAAAAAACAAGGGATACATTCCACAGACACAGAATTGCAAAACATAATTAATGCGATGTTGCAACATCAACTCAGTTCATACAAAGTTAGTGCGCAATTCATAATGTCATCTCAACATAGCAAAATGATGTATAATGAGCAAAAAAAATCAGTTTTTTGTTTTAGATTAAGTCAGTAGCATACAAAGCCTTAATTACTGTAAAATATCAGACTTTAAAACGATTTTGCCATATGGGGCACCAAAAAGAAATTTGAAGAGAAAATAACTTGAAACTATTTTTCAACCTGTGCTACAGTTGACACTCATGTGTATGTAAATACTCTAGAGTGGTGGGACATAGGACATTTTAACGGTTCCCGTCCCATTTGGAAATCCAGAAATACGGAGGTAACTAATTTCGTTCGCCTATTTTACATCAAGTTGTGTGTAAAGGAACGGAAGCCTCGAACTCGTAATAGAACTAAAATAAGGAAAATCGGAATGAAATTATGACCTAACCCTAACCTGGTACACACACTACAGGAGTAGCAGAAATCCTATAACTCGGTACTTCTTGTGATTTTTATTTTTTTGCAAATTTTGACTTTGATTTTAATCAAATGATTTGTTGGGTCTGTAAGCTGTATCAGTTATTTATCATTTGAAAGTATCAATAAAGATAAATAAGTATTAAAGCGAAGGATGTTCTTCATTATTTCCATGTATGAAAAAGAGAAAAATTATAGCACAACAGTAAAGAAATATAATAATTCAAATGTCACAAAAGCGGCTCATATGTGGCACAAAACACAAACACAGCTGGTTATTTAGATATTAGCCAGTATAAGAGATGAAGTTGAAGTAGGTCACATTTTAGAACAGTACGAGAAACAGGAACACTTTTTTTTTATCTGTATGTTAGTTAAAATTGCAACACAAAACTAATTCGGTTCTATACATACACGAATGATACTGGTTCACCCACAGTCCATCTTAGTAGGACGGTTGATCTGGGCACTATTCCTATTCCACCTGGGATTCTATTAAGCAAATGCGCCCCGAAAAATGTTAATAATGAAACTCATAGTGTGAGTGTGCATGAAGTTAGACAGCACCATCTCAGTGATAGTGCAAATAGATATTTCAGAACTTTCTTCCAAGAGAAGACAGGTAAGATTATCAACAGGACATTGATACTTTCTTCTCTGAAACATTACAGAGTCCGTATAAAATTGACATTTAGTCCTAACTAAATACAGATACAAAAACCTCACGATTTACAGGATATGGCAAAACCAAGCAAAAAACGATTGGAATTTGGATAAAAATTGAAGCCTAGTTAAAATTAGGTTTGGGTGTTGGATTTAACATATCTTGATGAACAAACAAATAATTGCAAAGGGCAGTCAAAGAGAAGAAAAAAAGAGCCAAAACCAACACAATAATTCATGATTGTGTCCAACCTCAAACATTCCTAATACCATTCGAAGTAAACAAGATAAAAAATCACTCACAAATTTGCAGTCAAACCGAAACAAAGCATAACACAATAAGCAAATTTCAACATTTGTCAATCAATTCTACAAGTCACAACCATTCTATAGCAAATACGCAAAACAATCAAGATTCATTCTCAATATACACCGTACCATAACAAATAAGAGCATGTCAATTGCAACGCGTATTTTTATAACTAAAAGTAAATTAGAATAGACATGGTCAGAAAAGATCTAACACAACGAACAAATAGTAAAATAGAAAAAAGTCAATAAACTAAAAAAGCTCAATAAACTATCCTTCACCAACTGACAAAACACTTTCTAACGGTATAAGGAAGATTTGTAGTAAAAATTGGGTAACAGGAAAAATATCCTTTCCAAACCCACAGCAATAGGCATTTTTAGAAAGCATAATCCGAGTTTGTTTTTATACACAGTTAAGTGAAGAAAACAAATGTAGTGGGTCGTCCAGTTGCAATGACTATGTCGGGCACCAATTCCTAAATTTTCTATTATATCAACGGAGAAATAAAAACGACACATTTACGTTTGTTTCCTTAGAAAAAAAATTGAAAAAAAAAAGAAAAATTGACACCAGCTAATGGAGGGCTCGTACATGTCTCGATTCACCAGTGTTAATTCTTGGCCTTGGACGTTCTCCAAAAATTAAAGCACTGTCGTCAGTGACGCTTCGAGCCAATGCTTGCATCGATGCCATCATTGTTTCTGGATTGGGAGTGTCCTAGATAAAATTATCTACAGTTAGAGAGAATTCGAAATAGTTTTGTCAATTTGAATGCCATTGAGGCGAATACAACCTAATGAAAGGAGTTCTGTCCAAAAAGCAATGGAAATATTCCAATTTATTAACAGCAGCTCATAACTAACTTGAGAAAACATAACATGACAATTTAAGGTGCTCCCTTAGTATGTGCAACAAGATGGCGGAGAACTTATTAACATAGTATGTGTACCAGGTTAGGGTTAGGCCATAATTTATTCCAATTTTCCTTATTTTAGTTCTAGTACGAGTTTGGGGACTAGCCAAGTGACTCCCAGTCCCATAGTTTTTTACCTGAAATTATGGCCTAACCCTAACCTGATAAACATACTACGTTTCGGTGTCCGCAATCTTGTTGCACATACTACGGGAGTACCCAATTTAAAGCTAGCATTTGGTGTTACCCTTGTTGGGAAGCCTGGCCAATGAGGAATATATATTCTTGCTTCATCTAAACACACAGACTGTATTGAAACAAAGTAAATTTGTCACATGAAATGTATGTACTGATTCTCAACAAACACTGACTATGCGAGTAACAAATTTTCCAATTTACCATGATTTATCAATGCCGAATTAATAACCAGGAAATGCATTTAGTTTAGGTAGTGGACTCATACCCTATTTATCTCAATATTAATTTACCCCTTAAAAAACACATCATACTACAATAGTGATTAAAGTGCCAAACTGTTGATATTCAAATGAGTTAGAATTTTCTCACATGAAAACCTCTTTGAACAGGTCTGGAACGGCTGACACCGGCGAAGGCCGTTGGAACATTTTGCTTATTATTCTGTGCATTATAAACGACTGGAGCACGAGGACCTTGGTTATCCGTAAATCTTGGAACTTCGGTTTTTTGCACTAAAGTATAGAATAATACCATATTAGCATGAGGAAAAATAACTGTTATAATTAATCCACCAGGAAGTATTGAAAACATGATTTTTGAACATTTAAACAACATTAATTCAGATGCTAAATAGTCTTTATTTCTTTTTGTTTACTTAGTAATTCATCTTTTTTATTTCACTCACCAAAATTCATATTAATATTGACAGGTAATGATGTTGCAAATTGATTCGGATCATTATGCGATTGATTATCAATTGGAGGTCTGTGTATAGTAGATAGATGGTGATGGTTTCCATATACTCGTTGAGGTCTCGGTACTTGAAAAAAGAAACCAAAACAATAGATTTTACAATTTACTTTCTTTCTAAATTATGAATAAGGCTTCATGAGAAAATGGTCATGAATGTTGACAAAAAGAAACTTTCAGATGAATTGTCATAATGTGCATTAACTGTCTCTACTCTTAATAAGGAAAATGAGCCAATCTTAAACGCTGAAACTATAGTAATTTTACAGCATTTTCAAAACACACTGAAGTTATGCAATATTTAATTATGGCAGTTTAGTATTACTTGAATAAAAGTGATTTAGCGCACAGTATATAACCATAAAACTCAACTTTTTTTAAATAAACAAATGGCTGGAAAACAGCAGCACAAACAAATAATAAATTTTTTTTCAATTCTTCTTAATTAATACAGTTATTCTATATTAAGTTCACAAAACATACTATCAGAAATTTCATCATCGCTATCATCGTCATCTGTTTCTGAATCATCTTCTGACGTCCTATCTGATTGTTGCTCAAATAATACTGAATAGAATTCACATGATGTAGAAGTGACATATGTGATCATATGAACTAATTACATCAAACTGTCACTTTATAATTAGAGAATTGCAGTCCCATTACATGCTAGTAAAAGTGATCCAGCTTATGGAAAAATATTTCATGTTACTGTCTGAATTTATGAATTGAAGGAAAATAACAATATTTTATTATACGTTTTTAAATAAGTTTTTAAAATAATAATTACAATAGCTTACGATTTTCCAAATAATTCGAATATTACTCATAATTTTAGGTACTGTCGTAGTGTGTGTACTAGGTTAGGATTAGGCAATAATTTTATTCCGATTTTTCTAATTTTAGTTCTATTACAAGTTCGGGGACTGTCTGTGTTATCCAAGTGAATATCACTTGATGTGAAGTAGGCGAACAAAATTAGTTAACTCCATATTGGTACGCATATTTCTGGAGCGCCTAATTTTATAATTATGGAAGCTTAGCATAATAATGATTTCCTGTGACAAGTTTGCAATGAATTTTTCAGTAGGTAGGCTATTTATATAACATCTTTTATTTGTAATTATTCTAACAATCAAGGTTACCATTTCACTATATGGGTGATCATCCTCATGGCCTTATCTATACTCTGATAGACATTCTTACACAACTAGGTTGAGATATTATACAGGTACTACATACAATTTTCATCCAGCTCAAAATCTGACTTTTCGCCATTAGTAGTTCGCTCTGATTTTTTGCGACTTCCACGTTTATTTCCTCGTCTGGCAGAATCAGGGTTCACAACAGGAAATCCTGAAATTAAAACTTGAAAATTATACCTTTTCATGGTAAATTCAATGACATTGAAAATAATTTTGATAGCCGCAGTTTGTATATATTAATATTATTATTAAGAATTCTCTGTCCTTAAAATAAAATTATAATTCAAGTGAAATTTGAGATGAATCATAGTTTTGCGGCATCTGCTTTATTGGCTATGACAGTATATATTTATTATGTTTCAGACCATATGAAAGATAAATGAATTTTTTTTATTCATATTTCATACTATTTATCAATTTTATCGAATAACTAACACCAATTTAAAATAACAGAAAGCAAATTACATGCAATCTAATATATTTATTCAATTTATATAACACTTGTTTTTTACCATTTCATCATGTTAGTTCGCTTCTGAGTTATGAGTAAATTTAAGATCTAGAATGCCCCTTGCAATTGCAACTGCCGCTGCAGGTATGACACAAGAACACAATATAACGATTTACCATGCCCCCAAGCTTGTTATCAAAGTACAAATAGATACAATATTCTTGTTTCATGTTTGAACCTTTTTATCAACTTTTCTGAATTTCTTTTGTATTGTGCGTTAGTATTTTTGTACCATAGTGGAATTCAAGTTAAATTATTTTCGTCTACAACAAAATAATTTTAGACAAAGCCAAGGTTACCTGATTGTCCAAAGTTCAATCGAGGGTTTTGTTCTAATTTGAGAGATTGAAACGAAGAGCATAAAGATCTGAACAAATAGAAGAAATCAAACAGTCAAAAAATTGACACATGAGAATAATAAGGTATTGATGATCGAGGATAAGGTATTAAAAGAGGGGTCATATTCTTTCTACGGACCATGCTTGAGAAATAATTGAAGTTAAAAAATTAAGTCAATGATAAACTTATTGTTAAAGGTTGCATTGTTTTCAGTTTGTATAATTATTGGAAATACAACAAACTTGACATTTATCCTTTTAACGATACTCGGTACTGATAAGCATTCGGATGCAATCTACATGAACATTATTTCAATTTGCTGAAAGTATTTATCAAGAATTAATCATTTACTATTCAGTTATCAAAAATCGATTCACACAAATTTAGCCAAAAATCAAAGCTTTTGAAAATGAAACCATGTATCTTTCCAGTCTTTTATTTTGAAAATATACGATAAAGAATAAATTTAGAAATTTGCAAATAGAAAATAAAAAAAATATCAATAATAACAAGAGAGCTACGCCCAAATATATGGACACGTCTGTTCGCAGTACAGTACGGTTTACCGTACCGTCAGATCACAGTCTACAAATATATTCACACCAAGCGAAGCAGTACAGTAGGACACAAAATGGCGTCCGATGTCCGCAGAATGTTTAAATTAACAACAAGACCAACATAATATTGAAACAATCGTTATGTCCACTTTGTGTCCAAAAAGCATTGCTCAAAAATACATGAACATGAAGGCCGCATAACATGAAACAAAGAGCCTGACTGGAACTAACCCTATTTTCAACAATTTTTTCACCAGTGACCGTTGTGTATTGTTCATTTGTCTTATACCGGTATATCATTTTTCTTAGATTTGAGGACCACTAACTAGAGGAAAAAAAATTGATTTTTTTCTCTACTAAAAGTTGTCCCAACAACAACAATAATTTAACAAAATGATCAATATGAATACCTCGTGTCCCATAGAAAAGGATCTAGGTATTCAGCTATGAAATATAATATATTAAAAATTATATAACTTTTGACGACCACCTCAATATTATGCCTGCCTAGTAATCAATCATATTTATCTGAGTCAAAAAATAGTAATCAACATAATCATGTGATAGCATTACTAAGCGATTCAATGATTAATTCATTTCATACATCTGTGAACACTTCCTTATAGTTATTCCATCCCTACAGTTTTTCTACAATTTCAATATTATTGCAAATGTATCATTTCAAAAATTTTCTGATTTCATTACGATATCTTAGTTTATTAATAGCTAGGCGAAATCTCTCACCTTCAAAGAAGTTTGACCAAACAATCATTATTAGAATTGGTATTTAGACACAGTTTTGAATCATCGATACTTTACACAAATTAAATGCTTTATTATAAAAACTTTTCCAAAAAGATAAAACAAAATTAATTTGTCAAAAAGACATTTTCTAATATCTGTCTTTCTAGAAATCTGTCATTGTTTTGAATGCTGCATTAGGCCAGTGGTTCCCAACCTTTTTACCCTGGCGGACCGGTAAAATTAAATTAATTGTGTTGGCGGACCGGCAAAAATTTGAGATAACCCGAACAGAAACGAATAACATATATTTGCGTAATAGAATGCAATTCCGGGCACCCAATATGCTTCCAGGTGTGCAAAATATACACACCTAAAAAAAAAACACGGAGAAAAACTAACGCAGTAACTGGTTGAAAATACGGACAACAGTTTGATCGTAAATATATACTACTACGGTTTGATTGCTCGAATATGGGTATTCGTTATCAAGAAACATCTAAAATTGTTTCAAGTAATTCTGTTTTAAATCTGAACTGTAAAGTTGAATCACAATTTTAATCAAGCCTTTTCTTTTTCGTTGGGTTTATCATATTAATCCCTCTGCAGTTGATTGACGCCTTGAACGAATAAATTTACATCACAATGATAAAGTCGTTGATGACTTGGCACCAAGCTCAAAATCCTACTGTGTCTGCTCAAAATACTGGAAAAGATCTCTGCAGCCCATGCTTTTTTGCGCATCTCGTGGCCACCTGTAGGGTTGCAACAAGTTCATACATCACTTGAAAACTATACTTTTTTTGACTGTTTTCTGGTTTAAAAAGAAAGAAATATGCATAACGTATGATATAGATTTTTTAGGTTTCTGAATCTTACCAGATTTCATAGAGCGAATTCGTGATGAATCGGAGCCAAAAAAGCGAAAAGTGTGATTGCTCGGCGCCATGATGTCGCGAAAGACGTCGCAATATGACGGCGGAAAACAACAAAACAACGGAATTTCTCGCGGACCAGCAATAAAAGCTTCGCAGACCGGCACCGGTCCGCGGACCGGCGGTTGGGAACCACTGCATTAGGCTACCGTAATAATTCTAGTATAGTTGAGACCATAAATATGATCAATCAGTGATTTTTACATTTGAAATTACAGATGCGTAACAAAAAACATTAAATTATCCTATAATCTGTTTGTCAGCCTCGCAAATAATTTTGCAAAAAACCAAACAACACAAAATCAAAACTGAATGGTTACCATAAAACTGCAAACTCTTGCAAGAAAAATTGTTACAAATAAATTCTGAATGACATCAATGCTGAATAAGCAACTACACACAACAAGGAAAATACTTTTATGGATATACTCATATACCCATTTTACAACACATGGAACCTTGAGCACCATGTACTACAGAATCAGTAAAACGTTATCACTATATAAAACTGGAAATTATTGTTGATTGATACGAAGAAAAAATTATAAATTACCTTGCGACAGCCTGACTGTGATGAGTCTCTTCTGCACGAATAGGTTGTCTGATTGGAATCGAAGTTGCAGCTGAAAAAATAAGTAAAATTGGTCAAAAATAGATGCTATATAATAATATTAAATATAATTCTTTATTTATGTAAAAAATGTGACAAGTCTGTGTTTAAGTTCATAGATGTTTTACTATAAACTATTTGCTGATCAGTGTATTTTCATAATAATTGGCACTATAACCACAATTTGCATAGGAGTTTAAAAAACCATGCATTAATTTTCTGAATGATAGATCAATTTGAAGGGCAAAGTAGAAATTGAAAAAAAAAACACCTTTCGAATATGGAAAAACCCAAATAATTCTGCTACAATACAATCATCAATATAAAATCATAAAAAATAATAATAAATCATCATTCAATTAGTCAACAACATATGTTTGTTAAAATTTTCTTTCCCAAGAGATTATTAATAAAGTACTGAACTGAACCGTGGCCTTGCTATTTCGATAAGAGCGCACGTACATTGTCAATTGTGGTAGACCAAATAAATTGAAGGTCAAAAAGGTCGTAAGTGCGCTATGAACATGGCTGAAGTCAACAATTTCCAATAAAAACTATATCAGTAGCCTACCTGTTGTACTTGAATTAGCATTATGTCCCCATCCATTGCCGACAACATTTTTCTGAGAAACTTGAGATGAATTTTTAATATGTTCCAAACATTCACGAAGTCGTCGCAATATATCTCCATGGCCATGCAAAGCTACAGACTAAAAATCAAAAACCTACTTCAAGATATTTTCATATAAAGCAATTATTTATTGAGGAGTTTTAGAAAACAAAGTGAAGTTGAACTCTATATACAAATTGCTGACAAATACTTTAATAATGACATGAAGACAAACCAAGATGCCATGTATCTTATCTGGAAGTTTAATATTTCTAATACAGATCTACTTGATTACGGTAATTGACAATCAGATAATCAGGAATTAAAAAAAATAGTAATCAAATTGAACGTAAATTTAAATATCTTTTTCAATTCACTACTGAAATCTACAAGAATGATAGTCACATTACTAAATAGTTCTTTTACTAAGCAAACTATTTTATATCTGTCACCAACAGGCTAGTGCCAAATGCAGTAGCAGTCATAATTCTGTATGGTCGGTGTGATAGTTAGGTAATAATAAATCAGTAAATGTGATGAATATTGAATTTGCCACAATTTTATGTCTTGTTTGAAAAGCACTTTAGTTCTAGAACTTTCGACTATACATGATTCTTTTAGCATAAGATGACAGTATATTATACCGGGTGAAATCCCATGCAAAAATAAACAAAACATCCAACCAGTTAAACAATTGTGAATTTGATTGCACCATTGTTGACTTTTTCCTATAATAAATATTGAATATGTACCCTATGTCCTTTGCAAACAAGGATTACACAAGACTGAGGGAAGTCACTTTACTTCTATCGCGTATTATAATATTTTTTCTTTGTATAAAAGTTGGATGTAAAATTACAATTATCTCATAATAAAAATGAGGTTAGACGTCATGTTGACCGCAAACTTATTTTTCAAGATTCTATTTCAAAGTTATGATTCCTATTCCAACACGTTTTAATAATAAACTGAAAATCATTGTTTCACACAGTTCACAAAATTTACGAGATCATACACACTATAATGAAATGGGATCTAAAATTAGCCGAGTTCAAGAATTTATAGTAAAATTAAATAAAAAAATAACATGGAAAAACAAGTCAAAACCATGAATTAAAATGTTAAAAATACGAAGATATTAGCAGCCAATGTTGCCCTCAAATAAAATAACTTGACAAATACAGTTAAGAGTTAAGCAGATATCTCTATCTCTTTTGAAAGCTTAAATCTTAAACAAGATTTTGTTATAGAACTAAAAATGTTTCCTGACGTAAATATATTCATGCAAAAATTCCAGAATACCAAAAAAACTCATCGGGTAATAGCAAAATCAATATTAATAAAGTCATTGTTGGTGCTTTAACAATTAAAAATGGCTCAAGGTAGGAATAAAGCAATAAAACTTCTTGAACAAGTAGGACCAAATTATAATATCTTACACTTTCTGTATTAGCCATTGGAGCATCGCCTGCACCTTGTTGCATTGAGGACTTCAAGTAGCTTGTCACAACTGCAACCTAGAAAAAAAATAACGCATAAAAATTTAAGCACAAAATATTAGTACAAATCCAAAATTTTTTTTGAGCAAAAAATATTCAAAATCTTCACAATCTGAGAAATGACTTACCTCACTTCCTGTGATTTCGGCATAATCATTCACAGCTTTTTTGAGAGCATTCCATGCATGTTTTTGATGATGTGGCATTCCAAAATCCATGCTACCAAAGGAGTGTTCACACAAAGTGAACTTACCCTCAAATTAACTGTTATTAAATTGAACTTCGGATCAAAGACTTGAATAAAAAATAAAAGATAAAGTTACTATCATTACAATGTACATTTATTTACTTAGAAAGAATATATAGGATTTTGGAAAGTTATTGCTCATAGCAGAACATATATTTAAAATTAAATTAATATTACAGGTTTATCCCTCATGCAGCAAAAGCACAGTTATTGTTTAGTAATGTATTGATCCCTTGACTGGTAATTTCTTTTCAATAGAAATGACGGTGATTTCTTTTTGTCATAGAGAATGCAGCATTGTATCGAATTTTTATGTATTATTTATATGAACATCAGGCCATAGTTTTAATTTTGGCCATTATTCATATTGATATTGTGATTTTAAGTTGTCAAAGTATCATAATTAGGGTGTATTTTTAGGAAATTTGCATAAAACAAAGTCACACATACTCAGTCAGAAAGGGAGATTGGTCTCTGCGAAAAGTTACTAGCAGTGACAACCAACAAATTGCCAAGAGCTGCTAAGACAGAAAAATGATTTGAAGTAATGAATTCCACATAACTGAAGTAGGCCTATATAACACAATCCATTTTAATATCTGTGAAATGAACGCAGCAACGCAACATTTCTTCCATGAAAAATAGTTTGGGTGCAAGTTGGAAGTCAATCATATTTTATAGACTATTTTGAATTCAGTAAGAAAGCATTTGATCAAAAAGCGTCAACAAGAAATGAATCATCAATTTTAAAACAATATGATATTCCATTATTCTTACACAATACTGCAATAAGCATACACATTATACTGTTATAACAAAAATTTATATTGGTAATATTTCTAGTGCACATAAAATTATATATTCCCACTACAATTTAATTTTTTACTACAGTAGTCAGTGCAGTAGGGATTATTTATCTCCCTAATTCCGTTCTTCCAGGCTATATTTATGTCTTGCTTTGGATACTTGCTACGAATGTAATGTTGCTTATTTGTACAGAGCTAGCAATAAATGTATTTCGGACATTAAAATCCATCTGTCTGAAGAACTAATAGAATATTTCATCACATAACCGAAATGCTGTATATAGATATAACACTCATTCATCGGTCGCCTATTGGTCCAGAAGTGATTGGAATAATTCGCTGATTGATTTGTATAGAAAAATTCAGTTACGGTCCAAATACTGTTAAAGTCATGTCAGTAGGTTATAACTGTTTTCTGATTTTACGGAAATAATTTCTGTGAAGCTAGCGGAATGTTGCAAAATTTAAGCTGACAAAATCGCAGAAAATCCCCACACATAAAAACAATGTTCCCTCTGATTACTTGTTAGAAATTGTATATTTCAATTAGTTTTACGATTCTAAAACAATTAGTAACAACACTAATATTCTTGCCAATATATCAGTATATATAGTACACATGCTAAAACAATTGTAAATGAATAATAGAACCCTTACATTTTAAGTTGTTTAAAAATGACTGAATTTTGTACAATGTCAGTGCGATAACATGGGTCAACCATCGAATCAAATCTAGGAATTCAATTCTTCGGACTTTAAAATTCGAAGCGAAGAGGGGCTCGATTAACAGCAATTTTATTTTAATTACAACTTCCTATTATTCAAAAATATTATCAAGATATTGTCATATTTATAAGTATTGCAACATTTCCTTTGTCAGTTTGTTTCGCACTGTATTCTCTTGTTTTGTGTTAAACTATTCTATCAGTCTATATGCAGATATGTCTGTATGTACAATTTTAACATCTCCATTCATAACTCTTTAATTCAAAGAGTAATAAGTTAGCACTGTACGGTAGCTGTGTAGCATTACTGCATTAAATCAATTAACAATAGCGCGATTTCGACTAGTACCATATAAATGAAATCTATTACATTCAATTTAGTCCTTGACGTATAAACTGACAAAACAAAATTTATCTGTAAACGGAGATTTAAAATTTGTATTCAAAATTCGTAAGCATCTGAAGTTAAGGTACTGAGTTATACCGTAATTTTTAGCACGATAAATTCTGGACGTGGCTTCTTCAGTCTGTCAGTACTGCAGTGGGCTATGGCAGAACTGCGATAAAATCCCACTTTGACTACCGATGTTTATGCCTACGAATAGTGCTTCCGAATTACATTGAAGTGGGTAAATGCACCAATGCTGCAATTGGGATAAAACAATCTATTTCTGTATTTCCACAGTAGTGCATCTCCTTTTGCCTTATCGAGCGCAGCGAAAAGCAAGACAGACAGACAGACTGCAGATTGCCTCACGAAGATAGCATCACGTGATAATTACACGCAAGACTGATTTCTGAATCGCACGTGTTTTTCCATCAGCTGAGAGCGCAGGTGCTGAATTGTCGAATGAGTTACCGTACCGTAGGTTTAATAACTGAATACAGAATACAGGAATAAGTAGTCTACAGAAGTACCGTAGCCTATACCGGCACCATAAGTTAATTTCGATTTCATAGTCCTGTAGTCTGTAAAGCCGACACGCAGATACGGTACACATATCTGCATATGGTACCGGTATAAACACTGAAACAACTGAACAAGGATAAAAGCATGGTTAAGGCTGTAAGGTGTAGAATACAGGAATATGGCATTTTCGCCGATTATTCAACAAACATCTGAACATAGAGCTGTTGCAGTGTCAGAATGTTGAAATAACGAGGGAATGTTGAAATAACGAGAAAGGCGCGACATTTATTAACACAGTAACAGGGCTGGGTTTTGATTTGGCCTTATTACTGTATTAAAGGCAGTAAAGGAGTTCTGGAGTTACACCACAGCATTTTTCGCTATACCAGTACTGCAGTATCAGAGTATAGTATACTGGTAGGCTGACGGCTAACTCGCCATGAGGGCTAACTCGCCATGGACCACTCGCCATGCGACAGCGGTTAACGGGTTAGCCTGCAACTGTGCGGAGGCTCTTCTTGTAATGGGAGATGGAAAGGTGGCTGTTTATACTATTGTACTAACAACTCTATCTCTCGAAATGTCGATGGTCAATTATAAAGAATAAAGACATGGCGAGTTAGCCCTCTCTCGAACTCGCGATGTCGATCGTCAATTATAAAGAATAAAGACATGGCGAGTTAGCCCTCTCTCTCTCTCGAACTCACGATGTCGATCGTCAATTATAAAGAATAAAGACATGGCGAGTTAGCCCTCTCTCTCTCTCGAACTCGCGATGTTGATCGTCAATTATAAAGAATAAAGACATGGCGAGTTAGCCCTCTCTCTCTCTCGAAATGGCGATGTCGATGGTCAATTATAAAGAATAAAGACATGGCGAGTTAGCCCTCTCTCTCTCTCTCGAACTCGCGATGTCGATCGTCAATTATAAAGAATAAAGACATGGCGAGTTAGCCCTCTCTCTCTCTCGAACTCGCGATGTCGATGGTCAATTATAAAGAATAAAGACATGGCGAGTTAGCCCTCTCTCTCTCTCGAATTCTCGATGTCGATCGTCAATTATAAAGAATAAAGACATGGCGAGTTAGCCCTCTCTCTCTCTCGAACTCGCGATGTCGATGGTCAATTATAAAGAATAAAGACATGGCGAGTTAGCCCCTCTCTCTCGAACTCGCGATGTCAATCGTCAATTATAAAGAATAAAGACATGGCGAGTTAGCCCTTTCTCTCTCGAACTCGCGATGTCGATCGTCAATTATAAAGAATAAAGACATGGCGAGTTAGCCCTCTCTCGAACTCGCGGTGTCGATCGTCAATTATAAAGAATAAAGACATGGCGAGTTAGCCCTCTCTCTCGAAATGGCGATGTCGATGATCAATTATAAAGACATGGCGAGTTAGCCCCCTCTCTCTCTCTCGAACTCGCGATGTCGATCGTCAATTATAAAGAATAAAGACATGGCGAGTTAGCCCTCTCTCTCTCTCGAACTCGCGATGTTGATCGTCAATTATAAAGAATAAAGACATGGCGAGTTAGCCCTCTCTCTCTCTCGAAATGGCGATGTCGATGGTCAATTATAAAGAATAAAGACATGGCGAGTTAGCCCTCTCTCTCTCTCTCGAACTCGCGATGTCGATCGTCAATTATAAAGAATAAAGACATGGCGAGTTAGCCCTCTCTCTCTCTCGAATTCTCGATGTCGATCGTCAATTATAAAGAATAAAGACATGGCGAGTTAGCCCTCTCTCTCTCTCGAACTCGCGATGTCGATGGTCAATTATAAAGAATAAAGACATGGCGAGTTAGCCCTCTCTCTCTCTCGAACTCGCGATGTCGATCGTCAATTATAAAGAATAAAGACATGGCGAGTTAGCCCTCTCTCTCTCTCTCGAACTCGCGATGTCGATCGTCAATTATAAAGAATAAAGACATGGCGAGTTAGCCCTCTCTCGAACTCGCGATGTCGATCGTCAATTATAAAGAATAAAGACATGGCGAGTTAGCCCTCTCTCTCGAAATGGCGATGTCGATGGTCAATTATAAAGAATAAAGACATGGCGAGTTAGCCCTCTCTCTCTCTCGAACTCGCGATGTCGATCGTCAATTATAAAGAATAAAGACATGGCGAGTTAGCCCTCTCTCTCTCTCTCGAACTCGGGATGTCGATCGTCAATTATAAAGAAAATAGACATGGCGAGTTAGCTCTCTCTCTCCCTCTCTGCTCGCAATCAACGGCTGTTAGAATAAGATGAGACTGTCGGTAGCAAAATAGAACTTTTGATATATTTAGCGTTGTTGTTGATTCAGTGCTCATACAATCAATTAATATGATGATATATTTAGCATGCTTAGATGAAAATGATAAGTTGAGACATCCTTTGCGCGTCGAGTACCGTACGGTACCGGTATGCCTTCCGACATATAAGCACGTTTTCTTGTCACTTTGTTACCATTTGCACAGTAGGTATTGTAACCAAACACATTTAATTTAATATATTTATTCTTACTATTGAAGTTGTTAGTATAAACAGCCACCTTTCCATCTCCCATTACAAGAAGAGCCCCCACACAGTTGCAGGCTAACCCGTTAACCGCCGTCGCATGGCGAGTGGTCCATGGCGAGTTAGCCTCCACCCTACTGGTATACCCGATTCCTCATTCGTTCTAATTTTTATGCCTATTACCTACTGTATTATAACTGATACATTAATCTGGCTGGTGATAGCAGATGCTGAGATCAGGAGATAGCTGGATAGGGTTGAATTGCTTTTGTTTCGGCGAAAGTTCATGATAGGTTTGACCTTGTTTGTAATGAAGATAAGAAATTTAATTTAATGTATTCCTCTGGCTGTCTGGGTGCTAGTCTATACCACAGTACCAGTACTGCTATATCAGTATATGCAGATATGTATGAGTTTTTATCCTGAACCAAAATATTGAATTAGTGGTCGCTTAATAACAAGACATTGCCTCCCTTTGCTTTTCATGTTTTCTTGTATTTGCGATGTTCTCCTCTGTCTGTCTGTTTGATGTGTTTTGCATCGTTTTCAGAGAGGGGTAGAAACCGAAAAAAGTGTTCTGTATAGGCATAATATTTTGTGCCACCTGGTAATTTTGCTCTAGTCAGCAAGTGTCAAGAGCAAAAAATTACAGCTGAGTTTATAACGAGAAAGTAAAATATTCTTGGGATAGTTTTAGTTTATAAGAGAAACACTTTAAACCTAATGGTCTCGTAACCATCTTCTTTTCAAATGTTAGTTAGTATGCAATGAACTGAAGAATTGTACTATTCTTCATCTTCATCATTGTTTTCTTTTTTTTTCCAGATAAACACAAAGCAACATCATCTATTTGATGGTGGAAATATGCCAGCATCTAAAACTTTAAAGCATAAAGAGGAAAATAAGCATAGATTTCTCACATTCTCCGAGCGATTGTCAAGGGTTTCAATTAATGCGGTTCGGCGTATTGAAAGAACAGATAGGGAGGATGAAGACTCCAAATTTCAAGCATCACTGGTCAAATGGAGGGATCAAGATAGGAGTTTACCATTTCGTGAATTTTATGGGGAAATCGGAAACAAAGCTCAAAATTTTAAAATGATTGTGCATTATAGGAATGACATTGTAAAATCCTTACAAAAACATTTGTCAACCCCACACTCATTAGCCCTAGAATCCCTCTGCGAACTTCTCGTGGCTTTATGCATGGATTTAAGATCTGAATTTTACCCCTTTTTTGAAGAGACTTTTCTGATTCTCACAAAACTTTTAAATGCTAAAGAGCTTGATAGACTGGAACTTGTGTTTAATGCTGTATCTCTGTTATTCAAATATCTCTGGAAATATATGATTGTGGATATGGACAACATTTTTACTCTCTATTATGACTTAATATGTGGTAATCATGCATCACATATCGCAACTTTTGCTGCTGAGAGTTTAACATTTTTGATCAGAAAAGCATCAAATCAAAATGATTTATACAAACGGTTGTTGAAGATTTTTCAAAATAGTGAAGTAGGAATTGGAAAAATTATATTTTTCGTTCTGAAGGGAACAAAAGGCATGTTATACTCAAGAACGAATGAAATATTCCCTAAAGTATTAGCATGCTTGATTGAACCTGATATGTCCAATAAAGTGTTCAACTCAGTTGATAGCGCTTTAAACTTGATTGCAAATCATGTTGATAAAGACAATGCTGATATATTATGGAAGATTCTCCTCGAAAATATGGAGAGTTACAACAATGAATTCATCTTCGTTACAAAACTACTGAATACTTGGTGCAGTTTTAATTGTGGACAATTAATTCTAAGCCCTCAGGATATCACAAACTCAATTCAAAATTTATGTGTCAACTTGACAGAGGATGCTTATGAATCCTTCCTGGATTTATCAGTTACGCTTGTAACTGCTTCGAAAAGTTTTTTTCCGTCTTTGCTAAAAGAAAATATCGTGAGAGCGATCATTACGAGTGGAAAATTTTCTTGTAAAATCTTGGTTCAATTCTGGAAAAGTATATTAAACTTTGTCAATATGAATATCAATAGCCGTCAGCTTCTACTCAAATTTTGCCAAGTACATATAAAAGATGAGAAGGACATTGTTATTTGCTTGTTAACTCAATATGTTTTGTCAAATTGTGAGCAACCAACTGATGCAGAAGGTGTTGTCAATTTCTCACCATTTCGTATTGATTATGCATTAGTAAGTAGAGACAAAGATACCGAAAAAATTCAAAACATACTCGCAAATGTCATTAAAGATGGTGAAGCGAAAGAACCATTATTATGGGCAACACTACTTCTGATGCAACACATTAGACCAGTTTGTACTGGTATTACTGAGCAACTTTATATGCTATTCAACCAACTGGCCAAAAAAGAAGACGATAATTGTATTGCTGTTATACGGATGCTTTTTCAGTGTTTGGTTGTGCTAAATGAGCCTCTTCCGCCATTTGACACAGACTATATAGCATCATTGATTATAGCCCATGCTCAAAATCATAATGCATTATTTATCATCGACATCATATTGACTTCACAACCAAAGGTAATCAAAAAACTCGAAGCATATCCAAAGGTTCTAAAAAATTTGATGTCCAACTTGTCACACCATGATGCAATAATTCGTAAATTTTCATTAAGAATTTTAAGCTTGCTTTACCCAGCAGAGGAAATGTTCCAGAACTGTTTATTAACAGAACAAACTCCAGCGACAGTTTCAACTTGTAGAATGAAATCTATTCATCTTGGGAAAATCAAATTCTCACCTGAAATGAATGAAGAGACATCTTGCGCAATTCTACGTTTCTTGGTATCAAATCTTTTCATAAACTTTTCAACGTATTGGCCTCATGTGCAGCAAGCTATTGCTTCATTTATGCCATCTGAGAAAGAACACTTTCTGTGGAAATTGCTGTTTGAATTGTTGACAAATGCTTCATCCAAAGACACAATTTTGGGTGGAAATCTGAAAGAAGATAAGTGTGCGATAAATTCTGCTACAGAAAATGCAGATTTGCTATCCTTGTTTGTTGAAAAGGGATTGACCATTTCATATCTGGCAGAAGCAAATTTAAAACCAGATTTCATCAACTTTCGTCTTCTATTCTGGAAAACTTTGACACAAGTTTCTCACATTGAAATATTGGAGCAAAATAATCGTCATATTGTTACTTTGTTCTTTGAATTCCTGGAAAATGAATACTACAAGGTTGATAAATCATATGCACCATTTCAAGATATTACTGTTAACAGTAAAAGTAAATCTAACATGTCATTTGGTGTTAACAAGCGGCAAGCATCACAAATGCTAACTGCGTGTCTCCAAGTTCTTGGTAACTTCAATAATCCAGTTTCTTGTATTTCATCTCAAAAACTTAAATCCACTTTTGAAAGTTTGCTGATGCACGGTGATGCTGATATTCAGAGATCAGCTTTAAAATGCTTGTTGCGATATCGAGATAAAAAATTATTGATTTTCAAAGATCAGTTGATCTCACTTTTAGATGATGATAAAATTAGAGACACAATGGTTCATTTCAATTTATCTGATGTTGTGGAAGACAAAAGAGAATCCCTTATTCCTGTTTTATTTCGATTGATGTATGGAAGAATGGTTTCGAAATCTGGTATCGGAGGTCAAGGACGGAAACGTAGATCAACGGTTCTTCGCTATTTATCTGGATTAACACAGCAGGAGATGCAAGCTTTCATTTTTTTATCAATAGAATCTATAAAACATTATGTGGATCAAGACATATCACTTAAAAAGTTCCCAGATACGACAAAAATAGTACCACTGTCACGACAGCGCGGAATTTTGACTACATTATCAGAATTAATTGAAAAACATCCAAATCAACTGTCAGATTACATGTTTGACTATCTTTTGGATTTGTCCTTGTCTTGTCACTTTTCATATCATTTACTCATTTCAACAGCCGAGTCTGATACCAACAGTATGGACCAACAATATCTCCCATTTATACGAATTCTTCTAAAACAATCACATCTGATTGCAAATTCACTTATTGAGTCCTGGCCTGAACCGCGGGGTTTCACTTCAGCACAAATATCTAAAATATTCTCTGTGCTCGTGAATCCGCACATTCAAAAGTTACAACATGAGTGTATTGCACAACCCAACAGCCTTCTTCATCTTTTCAACATTTTCGCGATGCAACCCAAATTTCTTCCGTTATTAGGACAAAAAATTGGATCAAGTGAAATTACAGCTCCAATTGAAGCAATTATAACAGCTTTAGTTTCTGAAAAAATGTCACCTCCTGTATCAAAATTTATAATGGAGATGCTGATTAGATTGATTGACAATGACATGGTAGATACCGATTTTGAAAACAGCGACGAAAGCCGATTAATTTCCGAAACGATAGCAAGTATGACATCGGATTTTATTGTTGTTGAAACTATGCCACATGATGTTGGACTCAAACTGTTGGTAAACTATGTCATTGACATTATAAAGTACTTCACCGCCAAACTGAAAGAGAAGAAAACAAACAATGCAATGTTACAATCTCATTTAAAGCTTATGATTGCACTCGGTCCTCATATTGAAGATTGCGAATTGGCTTATGAACTTGGAGAACTTTTGTTGAATCATGTTTCTAGCGTAGCAAAACTTACTGGTAAAATCTCTAACACGGATGACAAGTGTATTCTTCCTGCTTTAACGACAATAAATATGATTCCGGTTCACTCCAAATTTCTGCCAGTAATTGCGAAACTGTTTTCACGATTAGTAAGTCGGGAATGTAGATTAATTCTTGTTGAAGTCTTCCAAAAGGCATGCAATGCCGCTGATGAAAAACCTAAAGATACTCTGAATAAAAGAGCTGCCATTGTGTCTAAAATGAATGCTTGGGATAAAAGATTTATTGAAGAGTTGGATTATGATTCAAGACTAATTTCTTTTCAAGAATTGAATGAATGGTTGGAATCGGATTCTGCTATTGAACTATTAGGTGATGATTATATTGCTCTTACAGCCATAGTTCACAATTGCATTTTTACTCTTATGATGCACTCGAAGGATTTATCTCTGAGGGAGAGTTCTTCACGAGCGTTAGAACTGGTTATTAACCTTGTTTTTGAAGTCCTTTCCAACAAAAACTATCCTAATTTATACCATATTGTTATCGGATCTGTTTTACTTCCGAGCATTAGAAAAGGATTGAATTGTGATGATGAAAACCAAAGACATGAATGGCTGAGGTTGCTTGTTAGAATTGTGAAACTTTCTTCCAATGAGTCAAATTCTGCATTTTCATGTTTAAAAGTGCTGATTAATGAATCTGACCCTGATGGCGATTTTTTCGTTAATGTTCAGCATATTCAGTTTCATAGGCGTACACGAGCTTTTAAAAAATTAGCCCAAATTATTGATGATGAGATGGGATTAATTTCACACACAATTGCCTCAGTTTATCTAATGCCATTGGCAATTCAAACATTAAAATGTCAAGATCTTTCTAATCATTTGTATCTTAGAGACGCATGCTTAGGAGTAATACAGAGTTGTGCAAAAATTTCACCATGGTCGAGTTATATCAAATTGTTACAGCAGGTCATGGCAGCAGTGATGCGGAATCAACATGGCGTTAAAATTTTGTGCAGTGTGTTAAATGGTTTTCATTTTGATATCGGTGGTATTTCGGATGCAGAAGCTATCAAGTTGGAATCTTTGTATGCTATTTCGAAATGCAAAGAAAATTATAAGACAGGTGACGAAACTGGGGATGTAGAAATCGACAAAGAAAAAGCTATGATATATAGCATTGTTGCATGTGATATATTACCAAAATTATGTGAAAGTATATCTGGAAAAAATGACCCTGACGCTATGCATAAATTAGCAGATTCATCAAACTTTTCTGAAATTGATAAATGCAATATCCGTGCTCCCCTAGCTGTAGCAGTTGTCTCTCTCTTAAGAAAGTTACCGAATCGCATTCTTCATGTACATTTGCCAATGGTTGTTTTAAAAATTGTTGGCTTTTTGCGACATCACTATATCGAGGTTCGTACTGTTGCATCAAAAATTCTTGTTCAAATTGCTGAGTTGTTACCACCTCACCATTTGGCAATAATATTTAGAGAATTAAAAAGTGGATTAACCAGAGGTTATCAAAAACATGTTCTCACTCATACCATAAGCTGCATTTTAACAAAAATTGAAGATACACTCAAAGTTGGAAGTCTTGACTCTGTTATAGGGATATTGCTAAGTGTCCTAAATGATGATCTATTCGGAAAAATTGAAGAAGAACGAAGCGTTGACAAAATTCAATCTAAAACGCCAGAGGCAAGAGGTCGAAGTAAAGCATACAACCTGTACAGAATAATGGCCAAATTTGTGCAGAAAAAGTCACTACCTCATCTTATATCTCCTTTAAAAAATATACTTGATGCTACACATGATCATAAAAAGAGGAAAAATGTAGAATCTATTCTTTTAGAAATAAGCCAAGGCATACAAGAAAATTCTGGTTTAACTGCAGATGACATTATGATTTTTTTGCATGGTATACTTACAGAAAATATGCCTGGAATTTCCACTAGTTCTTCTAATAGAAAAGAGGAAGAACAGAAGAGAAGTAAAAAAGGTTTTCGCCCAGAGTCCTGTTATTTATTGTCATCAGAACCAGAAAGGTATGGTGTAAAACAAACTAAGAAGACCAAGAAGACAAACCTTCATTTGATTATTGAATTTTCTTTGAGGTTGTTGAACAGCTCGATCAAGCGTCAAGTGATTTCGCTAGTAAATCCTGAACAGTTAAAAATGGTTGATCCATTTGTTAATATTTTGAAACATTGTCTTGAGTCTCAACACTCAAAAACAGTGACAGAAGCTGTGAGGTGCTTTGCCAGACTCATTAAGACCACATTACCAAGTATGTTGGAGAATGCCATTGATATAATAAAGTCATTATTCAAAATTTTGCGAGAAAATTCACAAGGATCTGTAAATCATGAACTTGCTTCTGCAACATACAAAACTCTGAGTGTGTTGTGCGCGAGTGACCTTGGAGAAAAGCTAACGGACACACAGCTTCAAGTTTTACTTGCATATGCAGAAGAAATGCTTTATGAGAGGGATAGACAAGCGCATGCATTCAATCTTATTCAGTCCATTTTAAATCGTGGATTGCGCTGTAATGAAGTAATTGAGGTGTTGCACAAAGTACGTGACATTTGCATTCAAACGCATGACAATGCAGCCATGGTTCACGCCAGACAAGTATACATGTTTTACATTGGACATTACCCGTTGACGAAAACCAAACTTATAAACAATTTAGAGTTTGTGCTTGCTCAATTGTCATTCGACTTTGAATCCGGACGTCTGTCAGCATTGGAACTCCTCGCATCAATCATTAATTTATATTTTAAAACAATGATCAAGTATAATCCAGGCATAGTTTTCATACCGGTGTCGATCATGCTAGTCAATGATGAATCAGTTAAATGTCGCAAACTTGCTGCACATATTCTGAAATTGTTATTGACGAAGCTTGAAGTGGAAGAACGGGACCAACTGTTCAGTCTGTTAGTACAATGGTGAGTTTCTTACTTTTTACAGAATTGTATCAGCCAGTTTAGCGCCAATGGTAATGTATACCCCATGCATCACACATTGTATTATGAATGAATGCTGACAGGGATGTAGTAATAAAATTTAAAATATCTAAATTCATGAAATTGAAAGAGTTTGAAACATGGTAACATGGGCATTTAGGTGTCATTTAGTTTCATATTCGTGCTCACTCATTTTTCATGTGAACAATAATTTCTTCAACATCTATTCAAATAAAAACTTTTGTTTTTGATGCATTGGACTCCATATCAATATTAAGTTCTTCGAAATTTTGACAGATTTATATGAATATTGTGTATCATATTGCAGGTTCAATGATTCTGAACATCGATTACATCAACAATTAGCTGCTATGTTGGTGACAATTTTTGCTGAGGTTGAAAATATGGAATTTAAAAGACATTTACCTGAATTGATGCCATTGATTTTGCACATCTTTGATGAATGTGTTGAAGATGCTGAACAGAAAGACAATACATCTGGTAAGGAAATGATCGTATTTGATCTAGCAATATTTTATAGTTTTATTCATGGGCTTTATACATGCATGCACTACCAAGGTGTAGTTTTTATTTTAATTATTTTTTACACATTCGATTATTTATTCTGTAATGTAACAGTTACCATCCAAATGATCCAATGGCGAAGAGGAGTCAAGCAATCCTATCGCACATAATTATCACTCTTAATTTTACACTCATGACTCACCTAAACTTATATATTAGTTTGAAAAGACCAAGGTCTATAATGACCAGTATAGAGCCAAATATTGGAAAATGCTAGGATGATGAAATATTAATTTATCAAGACATTTATATATTTCGATATAACCGTTGTGCTTTATTTGTGACATGGCCAATTTTCTATAAATAGACGCAAGTTGGTGTATTAACCATATTTATGTGGTACAACCCAATGTAACCTATCTCCTGTCGGGGTTGTGTGTGAGAGGATTGCTGAACTCCTCACAACCGTGGGAAAGTTACCAGTGCTTACGTCTATCTCCACCATGTATCTCACGCGCTTGATTTACTATTCCCTTACCCCCCATGGACGGGAAATCAGTTTAAAGACCTCGGTTCACCATGTGATTGAGCAGTCTTAGAGTTTTTTCTCGCCCCTGGCATAAATATGAAAATCCTATCTTATCAATGCAGCACTCCCTTCAAACATCTTGGTATGCCTTGATGTGTACCATACAACCGATTACGAACCATGTCTCTATTGTAACTCAATTTTTTTTGTGTTTAGATGATGTCAGCAATGAAGATCACTTTTTATTCCACTTACTTTCTGCGTTTCACTCAATACTACGTTTATGTAAGCTTACATTGGAACAGACATGGAATGAAAAGGTTTCATTAATGTTGCAGAAAGTTGAGACAGTTCTTTTACATCCACACATGTGGGTGAGAATTATTGCAACACAGATTCTTGGCACCGTATTTTCATCATGGGATCCTGAGACGTTGGCAACAAGTTCGAGCGACATAAAGTGTTGTTCATATTTAACTGCCGATGTTACGACTAAACTGAAAACGCTTAGTATCATCTTTTCCCAACAAATTCAATCACCTGTTTTGGATCCAAATTTGACGGATCAATGCATAAAGAACTTGTTATTTATAATCAGAGTACAATATATAATTGTGAAAAATAAGAAAACTCTTGTGGGCATGGCAGATAGTGTTGACGATACACAAAACAGAAAGAATCCGATCCATCATCTGTTCCTACAATTGTCTAAAACTGCAAAACTCGAAGCTGCAAATAATATTAAAGAGACAAGTAAAAGAACAGCAATACTGAAGTTTTTTGCAGCTGCTACAATGCTGTTGGAGAGTATTCAGGAATATCTACATATTGTATTGAACCCAGTCTATAGAGAATGTGAGAGAAGAATTGGTGAGATTTTTTTTATATTTCTATAGTTTGCAGGAAGGCTAAGGTTTATTTGCAGAATTTTTAAGTTAACACCGCGATTTTATATTTACTGGTATATAAATATTCATTTCAGAATGAAGCTTCAGATTTAATGATTGCATATTCTTGACATGTACAATTTTGAATGTTTGAAAATAAACACTTCAATTGACCTAAAATGGTGAATGCAAAGTGTAAATTATTATTGTGCTCATGCTGACAAAGCCACATAATAATACTCAAAAAACACATATCGCCTTGTCAGATATGTGTTCTATATGTGTGGGATTAAGACTTTTGGGAAATGGGATGTTTCATGACTTGACCACTATCACACTCATGTGGTCTATAATCTATATCATGCGGGGGCATTACATCGGGATATTGTATTAACCATTTCATGCATATATTTTTAGTTGAAGAAGACAAAAATGCAACAGCATTGAAGACATTGGCGAATGAAGTTTTAGAGGTTGTCAAGTCAAAAGTTGGGTCAGCAGTTTTCACCAAAGCCTATGCCAAAGTTCAAAAGCGAGTTACATCAGACCGGCGCGAGAGAAAACGAAAACGAGATGTAGAGTTGGTTGCTAATCCACAAAAAGCTGCTGCAGCAAAGGTGAGAAGGCAAATTAAAAAAAAAGATCAGAGAAAAAGAAAAATTGCATCAATTCGTCCTGAATATGGTGCAGCAAAGAAGAGAAGAGGAAAATTACCAGCATAAATTTGCATTTGTACAACAGCGCATTTTCTGCCAAACCTGAACAAAGCGCAAAATGAGTTGTGAGTTTACAACCGACTGATACACCTGGACAGTGAATGGGTGCCATTAGAATTGTAATGCTTATTACCAACAATTATTCTAACATGTTATGTAACTAGCATCCAACATTTCGACAACTCCGAAACCTGAATACTAAATTAATTCGCACACTTGATTAAAGCCTCTTCTTTTCTGTTGGTATTCTGATTTCTGTGTGATGTTTCCTAGTAATTCAAGTGTCCGTCAGGCTTCACTTCATCTTTTCAGTTGTTTCCAGGGCTAAATCCGATAGTCAACTTTGATACCAACTCAAGAGCCATTGACACCTGCTACTTGTGCCTAGGCAGTGCCCAGTCTGATTTTTCTTTGTGGAAATAAATTATAACGAAGAAATATTGTATTTTTGTTATAAAATCATGGCAGAAATAGTTAGATCAGCGTGGCCCAAGGTTGTGCGGGCCACAGCCCACAATTGATTTTGTATTGTTCGCGGGCAGCAAGACATTTGGTTATTATTTATCATTCATTTTGAATAAACTCTTTACAACAGAGAAAGTGCTTTCATAAATAAAGCGCTCCCGAACATCGATGACATGCCATTTTAGAATTTTTTTTTTCAGCGCCTACCCAACTAGTATTTAGACTACATATTTATCCTGGGGAGAGGAAAGCCGATACCATGGCTTAACCATATAGCAAACCACGGCCTCTCGTCCGGTTACCATTCCATGTCGGGTATTGGGTTAGTTATTTGTTTCCGAAAGCATGGACTTAATCCCGGGGACATATCAAGCATTAATGCTTAGTTTTCTTCAAAAAAGTACTTTTACTCCCATATCGAGTTGAAATTCTGTTTCGATTGACCAGTTTTCGAACTCGCGTGTTTGAAGCGACTTGCAAAGCACTGCAGATTGACCGATTGGCAGCCATGAAGCAGGGTGGCAGGGTCGCGCGGCGGTGTGGCTCAACGGGCTAAGCGTTAGGAATACGCTCGCCACCGCACCTCTAATTACTCTGCGTGGGTTCGCAGGTTCGAATCCCATGCAGGGATGGTTATGTGCGAGAGGATTGCTGGACTCCTCGCCGTCGTTGGGTGGTTCACGTAACCGCTGGTCGGTTACGGCTTCCTCCACCACCAAGTCCATGCTTCCGAAAAACAAACAATACAGTAAAAACTAATCCCATACCCGACTTGGAATGGTAACCGGACGAGAGGCCGTGGTTCGCCATATGGATAAGCCGTCTTATCGGCTTTCCTCTCCCCCGGGATAAATATGTAAATCCTATCCTATCCTAATATCGCAATTCGCGACATTATTTGGTATATATTTACTAAATTTTCTGATATATAGGCATCGAATATTCCCGAAGAAAGATATAAATTTGTGGAAGTTTTAATAATCCTAACATGTATCATTACTCGTTTAATCAGCCTATAATTTAATTATAACTAGACAAATGGCAACACAACGCTGAAAAATTGATGTTAAGTGAAAAAGGTTTAACGGCGCCGAAAATATTCAAATGACATTTTTTGAGATGCAATGAAGAGATAAGTCTATATTCTATTCGAGATATGTATCACTGCTTGATTTTTTATATAAAAGGTATCATCCGTTCGGTTTTCAACTTTCTGATAATATGTGCGACCCGCCAATGACTTGCAAGTTGAAACCCTTAATTTTGGCCTGCCAGCGACAAAAGGTTGACGACCCCTGACGTACTGTATCTTAGAAGAGTTGCTAAATTTACGTTTGTTGCTAGAAATCGATAGCAGTTTACGACCTCTCATAGCGGGTTTTATCCATTTTTGCAGTACAGCTGGTAACTTGATAGAATAAACACTTTTAGCGCATTTCGGTTCCATTCCCACAACCTGTTGTAGTCACACTTGATTATTGAATCCTGGTTGCGGCCTCTGCTTTCCGAAGATTGTAGCTTGTTTCCTATTCGTAAACTAATTCACAGATAATTATACAGCGGACCATATGTGACCCGTGGGTCTGGGTTTGGACCACCATGGTTTCGATATTACCACATGGCAAAATAACTGCATGTAGTTCTAGCTTTTTGGTATAACAACGTTTAATGACAACCAGAGCTGTAACCATGACATTCTATCTCCGTTTCCATATCAAAATTCAAACTGTCTTTTATATCTGAATAGAATAGACAATAGAGGGATTATGCAAGTGATGAAGATGGCAATACGATGCCATAGGCGTAGCCAGGGGGGCCAGAGGGGCCATGGCCCCCTCCCCAATTTTCAAGAATTCCATTCCTAATCCACCAGTTTTGTGGCATCTTGTCTCGTCACGCTTGTTGATTGTCATTGTTACGTCACAAAGACTTGACCGTTCGCTCTTATGAGCAGTATGGGAAAGACTGTTTCGCAAGCTTTCGGTCAGTTGCTCGGTCTTGATTTGTTCTCGCCGGATTTTTTATTCGAAACGCTTGAATTTTGATGACCAAATTACTTCGATGGCTAAATTTAAACAGGCGAAATTAGATAGTTTTTTCCAGCGAAATAAAGACTCGCTTTCCTCAAATACATCAAAAAGCGCTTCTCAGGCTGTGGATGCACCGGTTACGTCAGTTACGTCTATCACTTCTATTCCCGAAGATGAACTAATAATCAACGAAGGGAAAACAAACGATCTTGGATTTGTTCTTAAGAAACATACACAGCTTACCGATGCGGAGAGATACAGGCTTCTAACTTCGGATGGTCCGAAAAACGTGACGATTCCGGATACTGTTAGACAAAGTCGTCGTAAATTTCTCAAAAAATGGCTTGACGATAACAGATTTTGCAGTTGGTTAGTTTACACCCAACCAACTCTCTGATGGGGGTGGTTTTGTAAGATATGCATAGTCATGCAAGCACGTTTGAAGCATGGAACTCTCAGGGACACTGCCTTTGTTACAAGACCATGCATTGACTACAAAAAATTTATGGAAAAGGCTGTAGCACATCGAGACACAAATTACCACCGGGAATCAAATTTAGCTGCAAAAAATTTTGTCAAAAGCATGGAAACTGGTCAAAATGTGCGTGCAAACATGGAGGCCCAATATGCTACGCAAACAAAAGAAAACAGACGAATAATGACTTCCATTGTCAAGACTGTCATGTTCTGTGCTTCGGGTAACATATCCTTGCGCGGACATTCCGGGGATAGTGGAAATTTTGTAAACCTTCTTCTATTTCGTATCGACGCAGGGGATGAAGATTTGAAAAGGCATTTCGCTCGAATGGCCGGAAACGCTAAGTATACAAGCCCGATGATACAAAATGAAATTCTCAAGGTAGCAAGCAACATGATAGTGCAAGATATCGTTATGGAGGCTAATAAATCGTTTGTGTCCGTAATAGCCGACGAATCATGTGATATTTCTGGGAAAGAACAACTAAGCATCGTTTTGAGGTATGTGAAAGGTGGTGAAGTGTGCGAGCGCTTCACAGGATTAGTGGAAATGGATTCTGTTTCTGCCGAATCAATTTCCTCAAATATTTTGACCCACCTCTCTGGTATAGGATTGGATTTGCAAAAACTTGTGGGGCAAGGCTATGATGGTGCAACGACAATGGCAGGTCACGTCAGCGGTGTGCAAAAACGCATTCGTGATAAATACCCGCGCGCAATATTTGTGCACTGCGCTTCTCATTGTTTGAATTTGGTCATAAATGACCAAAGTAAAGTTGCAATCATCAGAAGCACCTGTGATATCATTCGTGAGACTATTCGTTTTTTCAGGGAGAGCCCTAAAAGGCGCGCGGGTTTAGAAATTAACATCTCTTTGTTCTGCCCCACCAGATGGTCTGAGAAGTACAAGAGCATCCGAATCTTCAAATGCAACTTCAAACGAGTACTTGAGGCTCTTGATTCTTTGGCGAGAGATGCTAACAGTGAGACGCGGGCGAAGGCTTTTTCTCTGAAATCTGCTCTAGAAAAGTCGTCGGTTATCTACGCCGTATGTTTGATTGGTCGATATTCGGCACTAATGGAGCCACTAGCGCGCGCGCTTGTGAAATAGCTGGCTTGAAAGAGTTGACAATACCCAGAGTAGTCGAAGTACAAGTGTATCGCGACAATGTCTGTGCTGATTCAGCATCCCAGTATTTTAAACGTTCCGTATATCTCCCATACGTCGACGGTTTGAGCTGCTCTATTCGGGAATGCTTCATTGACAACCCATCATTTTTTTCATTGCTAACAATTCTTCCACCGAACAAACCAGTTCACGTGGATGAGGTAGAGCTTCTGTATTTATTGGATAACCTCCAGAATGAAGTGAGACTGTGGAGAACTTCTTTAAGTTCCGACGTTAACGACGAATGTTTGGAGGGGCTTCTTCTGAGCGCTCGAGATTATCCAAGCGTGTACACCGCAATACAGATCGTTATGACGCTACCAGCAACCACCGTTGAGGCTGAGCGGTCTTTCTCCTGCATGAAACGGGTAAAGACATGGCTGCGCTCATCAATGACGTCCAATCGCCTTTCTGATTTGTGTGTGCTTCACTGTCACCGTGAAATGGTCACCGAGGAGAAAATTAATCGAGTTGTGTCGAGCATAGTTAGCGGGAAGCGAAGGATGGACTTTTAATCGGGGCGATGTATTTTACTTATTTAAATTGCGTTGTTAATATTTGTTGTTTCAAATAAAAAATTGTTTATTAATGGATTTTGTATTCACAAAAATCCAGCTGAGTAATTGAATCAGTTTGCTTGTTGACCAACTGTTGTTGTTTTGCGCTTGAAAAACGGGTGTTTTAAACTCAATATAATTTCAAAAATTTTCAAATTTGGCCCCCCCCCAAAATTTTGGGCTGGCTACGCCACTGTACGATGCAACTTCGGTTTTTCGTCTATAACACATAAGAAATGGACAAAGAATTATAATGTGCTGCAATGACATATAACAACATGATGCGCAACTCCGGCATTTTTGTCCGAAGATCGTATTCGATAGCACGCTCCAATGCACATACTTGACGAGACGAAAACGAGCGGATGTGTGCTGCTTTCAAGGCGTAGCACGAATGGTGTTCGTGCCTGCTTTGACAGTTGTTGTCGATTTTAATGATATTTTTGAAATTTGGGGTAAAAAGAAATCGGTAAAAGGTAAGGTGAATACTATTGTTGTATATCACACCCGGGCATCGCACCGTTAAGTACATGTGGGAAAGCCAGCCTTTGTCAAATACTACGAAGTTATTAATTCAGTACGGTACGTAGTTGCCCATTTGCCGAAATTACATATTTACTTACTCCTTCTGGTTTCAAATAGTTCATGCACCTCCAGTTAGATTTTTTTAATCAGTGAGGATATATACTCATTGTTGATTGCTGCTCATTGTAACATACTATTACGCATTCACTTTTATTTGCGTATT